CCCCCTCTCCACTCTGTTTACGTGTGAGTTTTTTATTAAATGCGCAATTTTTTGTGCATAAATTAATTCTTACTTTAAAATACAAACAAAAAAAATGTGGGAAAAAACTTGTTTCATTAAAAATATGAAGATTTATCTTTTAACTTGGTATAATCATTTTAAACTTTCAAAAGAAGGTCTTCTTTATTGGGAGTTGAAGTGAATATGGATTCCTTTTGCTTGTTTCAGTTTTGCTTCCAGGATCGGTGATTTATTTTAGGTTAAGGTCTAATCTCAAGAAAATGAACTAGGTGCTCCATTTTATTTTTTTTATCAGCTAGCTAAATCTGAAGATATTTTAGTTTTATTCGTTAGTTTGTTCTCCATATTGATTAGGGCTTCATAGTCACTAGACACTTCTCCTTGTCTGGTGCTCTGATGTGGTGCCGATGGTTGCTGCTTTTAAATAAGCTTTGCAAACAGCTGTCCTACCTCTCTATCTGTGAAAATTTTACCAGAATTATTCTGAATGATTCGTCAGAGTTGTATATTCAATCACTTTAAGTTCCCTAATCAAATCAAAAATCATCATCATTTCAATTCAATTAAATCCAATTGAACGTCCCAGCTTGAGAGTTTTGTTGAACTGGTGTCTAATATAGTTTCTTTCAGTAAACTCTTGACAAGATTCATTTATGTAGTTAGTCAGTTCAGCTTCTAGTGCTTCTGTGAAAGTACATTTAAATCTGCCTCTAGTTTCAGGTAACATTCTGTTTTCTCTATTTTTTATTACCATATTGCCGCAGTATTGCTCAAGGCACATCGTAAACTTGATGAACTGCCGCATTTTCGTTTTCGACATTGCGCCAATTAAAAACTCTTCTGGCCACGACCGGAGTTCACTTTTTCTCTTACAGTTACGCACCATCTGAAAAACAATATGTTAATACTCCCTGCGGTAAGATGACAAGTTCGTCAACTTACACCCAAGACAATTTATCACAAAATCGTTATACATAAAAACAAACATTAACAAAAATTAGTCCTACTTATAAATAAGCATCAGTTGGGAAAAGTCTTAACCTCAATTTTTGTACAAAACCTTAATTTAATGCGTAGTTTTACGACGACTAGACTAACCAGTAAATAAAATTTCAAGTATAAATGCGAAAGTAAAGACAGTGCCACCTATCTTTGTAAGCTATAACTAGGTCTGGACTAGCTATCACTAATATTGGTGCAGACATTTTTTACGAGGCAGTAACAAATTTAAAGAAAAAAGTTTCATTTGCGCCGGGTGGGGGGGGTCCCAACACTTACGCAAGCATTGTAGAATGTCAAATTTGGGTCTCCTACAGTCCAAAGTGTTTAACGTGTAGCAAGTTATAGCATAGTATATTATTAATAGTATAGCACAGTATACATTAAATTAGAGATAGAGGGGCCAACTTAACGGTCCAGAAATTTATAAAGCGTTGAGGAGTTAAAATTTTAAATGTTGAAAGAATAGGATTATAATAATTATGATCCTCAATGACGTATTCTTTAAATTGATTATATATACAATTCCAAAAGCACGATATCAAATATAATTTGTAGATGGTAAGTGTATCCCGACATTTTTAGAAATCTTCTCGAATATATAACTTCTAACCAATGCAAGAAGTTTGTCATTTTTGTTATTTATGCAATAAGTATAACTGAGTATTTCGTTTTTTTCTTTCAACTCTCTAGGCTAATTTAATTATTGTTGTCGTTATTAGTTAACATTATTATATTTTATACCGATGTCAAAGAGAATTGATAGGTATAGGTAGATTTTTTGTTCTATTGCCATATTACACTTAAGATATTTTTTCTTTGCTAGCTCATAGATGACCTGAGCTAAGCAAAGAAATAATTTATTTGGAAAACTATAAACCCTATTATATAATAAAAATAATAATAATAAAGCTTTTAACAAAGTTCAGATTAGAATTGGTAACGACGAATGTAATATAACCAGATCCTATCAAATTAAGCTTTATTTCTGGGTATGATTACGAATATACTCACCGAAGTAATTATTAACGAATTGGGTTAGTGGATTGTAAATTCATTTAGTCGTTCGATTTTGAACGCATTCATTTAGAATGGGAGTTTTACATGGTATATGGTTGTATACCTTCACGAAGTTTGTCGGGTCAAAATTTCGTAATCGCTAGTTTATACTACCTGCTGGATATAATGATCGAGTCGAACACCGATAATAAACATACAAGTAATAGTTGGACAATTATATAGTGCTATAACTTATTTATTTTATTTATTTACTTATGGACTGTTCTTTGGAAATAACATATTAGTAAGTGGCGAGACGTAAGATGACTCAAAGAGTATAAGATAGAGGGGAAGGTCCCGTTACGAATGCCATCTATTGTTTTTGTCTAAGTACTAAAGTACTGTCATGGCGGTTTAAAGTAATGCGTCATACTGAAAACACTACAGTACCTTGTAACGGATAACAGCACTTTATTTATATTTTAATAAAAAAAAAAATAATTAGAAAGCATGGTTCGGTGTAATGTGAAAGGATCTCCAAGAAGACCAGAAAAAGTTAAGACCATTCTTTTTTTTATGGCCAAAAAAAGAACAAATGTAAGTAATATACGCGTTAAATTTATAGCGTCTCAAAAATAAATTATTGATTATCGATCAACTGTTTTTACTATACTAGTAAATATTTATATCCTGTAAATTTGGTTTTGTTAAATGTTTTCTAATTAAAATTGATAATATAATATCAAAAATTGATTTATAAATTTAATTGCATAGACGTCAACTATGGAAGGATTTTGCTCAGTATAAAGTGTCTTCATACAGACTACGAATTTATTCCGATCATTTTGAAAGACGTTATATCAAGAAAAATACACCACCCAAACAATTATTAGTACCAAATGCTGTTCCCACTTTATTTCCCCCTGATAATATTTTGAAGATGCCCGAGAATATGCCAAAACCTCCTTTGACAAGTGCTTTGGAAGGTATTGCTTTAAAAGTAATTCAAAGTAAAACTTAGTTAATTTTTGTCGTAGTAAAGTAGAAAAGTATTGCTAAAAGCTATAATGTTATTGATATTACACATGAATGCTCACATATTGACAAAGGCATTACTTGAGAAGTACGCAAGGCTACTGATAATGTACCAGCTTTAATTAATTTAATTAATTGTCTTTAATATTCAAATTCATATCGTTTTTCGTTTGTATCGAGCAAAAGAACCTGGTAAGGCGATAGAAAATGAAATAAATCCAAAAGAAGATAAAATGCAGAAAATATAATTAAAAAAAAATACATAAAGAAATTCAGTTATATTCAACTGAGAGATAGCTATTTGAAAATTATGACTGTTGTAATAAGCAGCCTTACGATTTTCCATATGTTTATTATTTCAATACCAAAGAAAATGTGAGATTTGTAACAGAAATATCCTGTTTTTAATAATTGTAAATAATTGACAAATATAGTTACTACTGATTAAAACAAATAGAGAGTATTTTAAACGGCTCTAATTAACATTTTTTCATTTTGGAGATGATAAGATTGGAAAATTGTAAATAACTTAACATTTTTCGAAATTCCATTGTAACCCATCCCGGGAAACGAAATATTCCAACTTTACCATATTAACAGTGAATAGTATTCAATGTTTTCAATTTATTCTAGCTTCAATATCAGTGTAAAATTATTTGATTATAAAAGCAATTCCTATCCTATTTAGTTTAACCTTTTTCTGTCACCATTTTTTCTACTAATCACAAACAAATTAAGTTCACGAATCTTACAAAGCACCATCTACCACATCATCACTATTTTTTTTATTTTTATTTTAAGACGAACGAGAAATATGCCTACATTGTTTACTAATTCCGAAAAACCGAAATCTAACGCAGAATTAGAATAGTTGTCATTCATCAACAGCAAAAATTGAATATATCGGCGCATTTGTACTCAAAACTGAGCCCAGAATTATCAGCTTTTCAATTATATTCCTTGGATGCTACAACATTATTTTTGAATAATTTTTGCTGCTTCTGGGAAGCACGATTCATCAGACGTGATCTCAAAAAGACTGATATTGTAACATAAAAAAAATAAACAACAGGAAATTGTTTAAATTCGCACAATCAACTACTGAAAAAATACCAATGAAAAAACCAAAGCAAAGCGACGACCAAAGAGGAAAAAACAAACCAAAGTGAAGACCAATAAAAAAAAATTAAGGAAAAGATTGAGTAAAATGTATATATTTTAGTTACCTGCTGTAGTCATGTAAGCAGAAATATTTTTATATGTTTATTTAATTGTTAAACTCTTATATACGTTAAAGCATATTTTCGTATCTACATTTCTTTTATTAAAATATATTTTTTCATATTACTAAGTGCAATGATAGATTTGTAGCTGTTTCAGCAGTGATTAGCAAAAGAATAAGTTTTTTGAAAAATTATTATTATTATAACTAATAGGTGTCTTTTAAGAAAACTTTTATTATTATGAGAGAACTTTATTTACACCAAGTTTTATATTTTGTTTTTAAATACAACAAATGTTATATCATATGATTTACTACAGAAAAGCGTGATTTTAGCTGATTTTTTGATTATTTTAAGATTATTACCAATCATTTTTTTATTGCTATGTATTTTCACATGTTCATTAATTTAATAAATTTCAATAATTTCCAACTAACATAAATGACATATTTTTTTTTACATTTTACCTTTCAAACTTTAAATTGTATTGAACCGTACGTCCCGCTAATTTTCCGTTTTCATGACTGGACACTAGAGGGCGTTGCAACTCGTGTACGCTTTTTAACATTGCCACTAATGGGAGCCTTTCCCTCTATTTTATACTCTATGAGATGACCTATGTTTTCGTGTATTACATATAAACATTCAAATATACTATATACATTTATACAACATATATAATACAGTTTTCACAAGTTAGCACCATTTGTTTTTAAAACTAATGTGATCAATTTCATAAAAAAAATAATGACTGTTAAGCAGTCATTATTTTTTAGTATGTTAAGTTATGTTTTAGTATGTTAAGTAATCCCCACAACGTTTTTTCCAATTCTCGAAGCACTTCTGGGTTCTTCCATTGGAACGACTGGGCTTTGGTTTTGACGTCCATATAACCACGATTCGTCCCCAGTTATGAAATTTCAGGATCATCATTGACGTCGTTTAACAGCTCTCGAGCGCCGCTACTTCCCTACTTTTGTTCAAAATTGCTGCTACACGTTTTATGCCCAAAACTTCGGAAAAAATGGCATGGCACTAGAAACAAAGACGCCGACGTCTTCAGCCACTTCTCTAATAGTGATTAAACGATTTTTCAACACCATTTGTTTCACTTCTTCGACGTTTTCATCAGTTATTGACGTGCTGGGGCGTCCAAAGCGAGATTATATGTTCGTGAGGTTAGTAAACATGAATAAACAAATAAACAAATTTTGACATAAAATTATATCTGTGTTTAAAAAACAATAATACTGGTTTTCAACGAATTGGTGATCAAGACAAACCTTGGGCACCAAGTTGTGTTTGTAAGGCAAAGCTCAAAGAGTACAACATAGTGGCAACGTTAAAAAGCATACACGAGTTTCAACGCCCTCTAGTGATTGTGTCCAGTCATTAAAACAGAAAACGCGCGGGACGTACGGTTCAATTCAGTTTAAAGTTTGTCGAAAATATATGTATATGTCGAAATAGTTTTCATTTTTTTTTAAATTAAAATATAAATAAGGTGGTGTTCATTCGTTACAGTATACGCGACTTTCCCCTCTGTCTTATACTCTTTGGTAAAGCTTAAATAAAGACGGAGCATGTTTTAAATACCTATGTGGAAAATTTCCGGCTGTCTCAGACACATTAAAGGAAGGAATTTTTATAAATCCTCAAAATAAGGTGACTAATAGAAGCTCAGGACTTTGTGAATGCTATGATTGAATCTGGTTCCATTTACTCATCTTGTAAAATGTTTTTGAGGAAACAACAAATACCCACATCAAAACAATGTTGTAGAAAACGTGTTGGTGAAATTTTTCATTTCATTTTTTAGAATGGATAGAACATAGAATAACAATTTGACAACATGTGTAAGCGTAAACTAGACACTTAAGTAAGTAAGCTCTGGAAATTTATATCAAACAACCTCTCTGTATTTGAGGTTCTAATTACCCTACGTTATAGGCTGCACCGGGAAATTTAGCGAAACCCTAGGTGTTTGACTAATTCGATTTTTTTGTTGTGCCAATAAATTTTACTCAATCTTAATAAAAACATATCAATTATAGGAAAAAAATATTTACGCACATCAAACTTTAATACAATATAATTTTTATACAAGGTGTTCACAAAAACACTCTATATTTACAAACAGTTTTTAATTAAATCACAAAATGTAGAAGCATTTTGAAATAATTATAATTAAGTAATTAATTACGGGTGTCCCAAAAGTAACAGTTTAACAAAAAAAAGTTATTTATTTAATACAGATTAAAACAAAATATTGTTATCGGATTTTTAAAAATAGTTAAGTTTTTTTGCTTGAAAGAAACGAAATAAAACAATAACAGGGGTTTTATACACGTAAAGTTTCATTCAGTTAAACACTGCTCTGTTTTTGTTAAAATTTTTGCATTAGTCATAGCTCTAAAAAAGTTAAACCATTGCTAATAAGAATTTGTAATAAGAGCGTTCATTCAAGGTTTTGTTTTATTTATTTAGTCTTAGTGTCAAAAGAGCATGACATCGCATGGTAAACAAAAGTTATTGCAAACCTTTCACTATTGAAATTGATTGATAATTGCCTTTAAGAATAATTTACTTCGCATAAAAAGGGGGACAATTTTCCAAAAATAAATGGATTTAACTATTGTTTCAGACTTTGTTATTTAATTTTGATTTTTAGTTCGGGTTTTCTTCTTGTACTAATAAAAATAATGTCTAAACTAACGGAGACTTTGTTAATGTTGATAAAAAAATTTATGCGATTAAGGAAAATGCTTAAATTTATTGTGTAAAAATTGTTGGCCCGTGTTATCTACAGTTTTTTCGTTCGTTCATAAACCAATGTTTAATTTTCACTTTTTCTTTACAGTTATGGCGATCTTCGTTCACGCAGCATCAGCGACAGATGCTCAGTATCAGGTCGGTATACTCGTATACCAGTTGCCATTAACCTCGATTCCCATTTCGCCACTAATAATACGCCATTATAAGAACACACACTTACAATAGTACTTACTTGTAAATTAACGGCCGTATATACACACACATACGTGTTGTTAAGTGTACGGATTTTCACGGCTACCATCTATAGTAATTATTAAATTCCATTTCCATTTCGTATTGTTACTTTTGCAAACGAAAGTGCGCCGAAGTAGGATGCTCTCTTTAAGAGACAACACAAGAGCTTAACCGTTTTCTTTGGCGTCCCCGTAAAAGAAATCAATCGAAATAAAATTTTCCGGGATGTTCGGTCGTACAAAATTTTTTTGTTCAATAAGCATAACGCACGTTTCGGTCTAAAATAGTAGGCCATCTTCAGAGATATATTGTACACCGTGTGCCAAATAAAACGATCCGTTATACGATCTGGAAAGCCGTAGGAGATACGAAAACAAGTTTCGTGCCGAAGTTTCTTATTATTTTATTGATACAGGGTGTTCCAAAAGTGTCCCCCCGACATCAACTTTGTTATTTTAAATGGAACAAACTGTATATTTCGGCATTTTTGGAATCCTTGGTTAGAATCAACAAAAACCGAGGCAGGAGGAATCCAGAAGTTTTATAAAAAGTACTGCTGTCTTTATTTTTAATTTATTAAAATTTCTAGCTTTTCAGTTTCCTGAATACCAGTTTCCACTATACGAGGGAATAGGAATAATTTCTTCGGGCCTTACTTCCTTTTCTTCTTCTTTCTTTTCTCACTTTCACAACGTCTTGGTTCAGTTGAGGTGGTGTTCTTTTCCTTTATCGTTGACGGATATAAATATGCTGAGCGTATTAATTTGCATATTTGGAACGCGGTAAAAGAGAAAACAAAATTTAGAGTTAGTAGCCAAGTTTTTTTCAAGTGACGTATAAAACAAAATACTATCAATTTTCTGACATACACGCCTACATCATATTTTTTTTAAATAGAGTACCCTGTATGTTATATATGCGTTTAATAGAATATGTTATTTCGATTACAACGATGTAGCACACTTTATATTTTAGTCCACTCATTTTTGACAAATCGTATATTTAATATATTTAGTTTTTCAAAAATATCGACTAAACTTACAACTGCTTTACCATCGATGGTTAACAGATAACACAATACACAAGAATCATTTCTGGATTCGTATCTTTCATAAATTTTAAGCAGCCATTTTTCTTGCCCATCATATTATGGGCGCCATCTGTAGTGTAAGACGTTATATTCTTCATTGGTATATCATTCACATCTAAGTAGTTTTTTAACTTGTTATATCTTTCGAGGCAGTGCTGCTTTCTAATATTTTGCAGAACAACATTTCTTCAGAATTTTCTTGTTTTCAGCTTTTCAACAACTTGTCTTTCAATATCTTGGCTCATTGCGTCTATTCTATTCTTCTACTGAGTGGCATAGCTTTTAAGAAAGAAAATTTTAAGAAATGCTGATATTGACGGTTTTATCAAATTTTCTCCTATAGTGTGTTTTTTTCCAGTTTTAGCAATTAATAAAGAAATTTGATAACTAGCCTGAGCAAGACGATTATTAGTTGAAGTACGATCAACCAATAGAGACTTTCATGTCGTTCTTTTTTCAAAATTTTTCCTTTAAAGTAACTCAAATCTGAATTAATATGAGTACTATGTTCACCCTTCAAATGCACCTCTCAAGACCATAGAATAGGAACACCACAGACCATCGAACAAAACCCTGATGCAACAGTTTCATTCATTCGTTGGCCAAGCATTGATTTCATAAAAGACAAAAAGGCGTTAAAAAAATTCCTCCCAATATTGACGATTTTTTTTCTTGCTTGCATGACTCATTTTACTATGGGCTAAGGAAAAGTTCAATTAAAAACTAATTATAAAATATGTGTTCTAATGAATTGAATATGACAGAGTAAAGGTATACTAAAAAAACAAATTTATTTAAATTTATATAAAACATTGCTAGAAAGAAAGAAAATATTTAAGAACTACATTTAATGTATTTAATGTATTTTTTTAGTATGCCAATACGCATCTCGTACTTTGGCTTGTGTTTTCGAGAGGGGCATCTTCCCCATGATATATAAAAAACTTCTCTAGCAGCTTAACTGAATATTGGGCTTGTTGAATGGTTGTTGGTGGTCCCAGATCAATTTCTTCATCTTCTTCTTCTTCCTCTTGGTGTTCTTCTTCGTTCTTTATTGCTCGTTGTACTATGGCTTACTCTGTCAAGTCTGCTGTTGTAGGCAAATCCTGATCTATCTATAGGCATTAACATAATCGTTTATTACGAGAAAAACACTTAGGACGACCAGGTTCTCGGTAATTAGATTATTAGGGTAAGGAATTCTGAGAAGGTAAGAGACTCTATTAATTACAAGTCGGCCTACATTCCTTACTTTGTTATCTGATGTGCCTTTTTTTCTTTCGGTATAGAGAGTAAGAAATTCGTTATACATAGTGGATTAATACATAGTTTTTTATTGAGACTTAATAGTACAACGAAATTTGTTCGTAATACAGAGTTTTACGTTATATATATATATATATATATTATTATTTGGACAGGATGCTATCTCTATGTCTTCTGACGGTTGGAGACCAATCGTCGGCACCAGAAGACACCAGACGAACTTCGAACCCGAACTATCCCGGTATTCAAATGCCGGTCCGAACGTCGATTTTTCCAGAGCGGAAGTAGTCAGCGTCGATGCTACCACACCGTCCTATCAACGTTCTTCTGTTTCGATACAAAGATCACCTATTAAGGATACGGAAGCGGCCAAACAGGGTACGTAGAAGGACAAGAACATTATTATAGTGCAAACCCGACGCGACTACTTAGGGGAAGGTTGCCTAGAATAGGATACTCAAGGTTTAGAGCCAACTATAGCCAAAATAAACACAAAATCAACTCATCATAAAAAACTTATTGAATATAGAACATGAACTTATTTTAAAATGGGATAGTAATAATGTCGTTTCTAAGATCACCAAAAACTATACTCATTGAGTTACACATACTATTCGTGAAATGATGAAAATGAGAGATAGTCTATTGTCAAAATATAAAAAATCCAAATTTCTCGCTCCAATGTATCAAACACGATCCTACCGAGTTATATCAAATACAAATCAAGGAAGTAATTACTAACTCCACACTATTTAGTGACAAAGACAAGTATTTTTTCACAATTATGAATCCGCAACCGCCGAAATTATATTCTTTACTTAAATTATAGACCAGTCGTGTCTTATGTAAAAGCTCCAGCAGTTAAACTCTCAACAAAACAAGTAATTATTTTAAAGTTCCACACAGATTTGAAACCAAAATTTGCAATACAAAATTATTTTCAATTAATCAACAAAATTAAAGATATCAATATCCCGTCTAACGTAACACTTTTCAATGCACAAAACTTATTTCCCAGTATTCCACCTATGAATGTGCTAGATTTAGCAGATTTCACCCTCACTCGGAAACAGGTTAACCCATTGGTGAAACAAGATTTATTAGATTGCTTAATAGTATCTTTAGACCGAAATTATTTTGAATTTAATGATCAGATTTATATCTCTAAGGAAGGTTTGAGTAGTTCCACTTAGTCCTGTGTTAGCCGAGATTTTTATCGATAATTTGGAATATCCATAGAATATCCTTTAAGTTAAAGTTTTCTTAAATTGAATTCTTTTTTAAATTACATTAACTTATTACATAATCATATAAAATTTACTATCGAGATTGAACAGGATAACTCTATTAATTTTTTAGACTTAACTATTACGAAAACGCAAAACAAGTTAGATTTTTCCATTTACCTTCGCACCTTCGTACACGGACACAACCCATACATAACAACTCAAATCACCCTTATAGACACAAAATGGCTGCATTTTACTCTTTTATACACAGACTTCTTAATACGCCACTCTCAGCAGAAAATTACAACAATGAACTTAATATCATTAAACAAATTGCACTGAACAACGGCTACAATCCGTCCATTATCGATAAAAAACAAATCCAGACAACAGTAAGCTCTATTTATCCGAAACCTAATACAGAACACGAACAATTTAAAACAATTACATACCTACATAGCAGAACCCAGTGAAAAAGTTTCAAAACATTTGTCAAAATGTGGTTTAAAAATAGCTTTGAGAATTAACAACACAATAGGAATTTTTTTAAAAAACAATAAAATGAAAATCAGGTGTCTGCAGGTTGAAATGCGGATCATGTCCTAAAATTTATATTGGACAAACAGGTAGATCCTTCAATAAACGCATTAACGAACATAAAAGATTGTTTAAAAACAATAGTCTAGATTCTGATTATGCACTTAAACACATTTTTCACAACAATTTTGATATTTTACATACAGTGACAAAAAGTAGAAAATTAAATTTATTAGAAGCCATGGAAATTATCCAAATCAGATATTCAAATGTAATGCTTAACGATAAATTTCTATTTAAATACCTCTCCATTGTTAAACTAAAATTCTCACATTAATTAAGGTTCTATTGTCATATATAGTACCAGGTAGTTTGTAAATATTACATTTGATATCGATACGGTGTTGTCGAAACAATTATCATGTGAATATATATAATTTCGTGAAAATCTGAACTTTTACTTCTTATTTATTTTGATAAGTTTTTCTGGAAAACCGCTCCTTTTTAGGTAGCAAGTTCAAACACGTCCCGAATAAAGTGACCAACACGTATTACGCTCTGCCGGCGAGTCACCACATACCTCTGACATCGAACTATCAACACAGTCGGCCGTTGCAAATGGTGAAGAAGCATTCGGCAGTTAAAAAACAAGTGACTGGGATCCAAGCGAAACCTCGCAAGCCCGCCAGAGGGCCTGTCGTAGCCCACACGAGTCGCGATGAAGTATTCGTCCCTGCACCCAATACAGGTGAGATATGCACGCATATATATGCTAACATAATATAATATGATTATTAGGTTGGCCCATAAACAAGATATACTGGTTACAAATTAATCTTTATAGATGCAAATTTAACAACTCATCCGCCCATGTAACACAGGATACAGTTTGATGTAATTGTTTTTGTGTTGCACCGTCTATGTTTTAATGGGCATATCATCGCCATTGGAGAGAATTGTAGAAATCTTAAGCGCATGTCTAGACACTGATCCAGAAATGGCTGTTAATTTTAAAAAATTCGATTTTTCGATAGTATCTACGCTCGTATAAAAATTGTATATCTCGGTAACGGTGTCAAAAAAAAAAAATTTTTTTTGTCTGTCTGTTCTCCGTTTTTCCTGAATAACTTACGAACTATTTGAGCTACAAAATTAAAATTTGCTTCCTTTTTAACCTTTCACGGGACGCACAAACTTATAAGTAATGGCCTCGGTTCGACTAAGGCCTCCATCTTTTTTTTCGCGATTTTCGACTGTTTTGGCACACATATTAAGTTAAACCGATAACTTTATAGAAACACACTGTTTGCGCCGATTTTCGGGAAAAATTAGCTGCTATCGTGTCTATAGCACTTAAAGAACCAAAACGCTAAAATACTTCCATTTTTGGCTGAAAATTTACTTAAATTAAATTACTGCATCCAAACATTGACGATCTGCCAGCGGCCATGTTGGTTGTTGGAAGCCGCATGGCCTTATGGGTAGAGCGTCAGAAAATGCAATTAGAGTTGCCATTGGTTAAAAACCAGACCTCAAAATTTTGTTACATAGTTGGTTCGCAAGTTTCTGTACTATTAGCGTAAGCATGGTCTCTATATGTTTAGAGTAGCTGTAGCTACTTTGGCAAAACTTACACATCCAAATGACCGCACTGTATATCCCACTCCTTACGTGTTTTCAGAAATGCTCAAGTAGATTGTATATTCTCATTTATAGGAACTTTTTCGTTGGTAAAGTCCGTATCGCCAAATCTAGGGCAAAGGGAGGCCGGATCTGGTCTGTTTGGTGGCAATCAGTTCGGCTTCAATCAACCAAACGCCCATATCGAATTTACCAACCGGTTTTCACCGTCGGGGGCGGGTAACGCCTTCCAAAGGCCCGTTTTCTTTGCTAAACCGTTCGATACGGACGTTTACACAAGGAACCTGGTACCTCCTCCGCGATCCAGCAACGCGCATAAAGGGAATCTCAGACAGAATAACGGCTTGGTCACCGAAGCGACGTCAAATTTCGAGTATTTCGGAAACAACGCGAACCGACTAAATTCGCAGGTAACAGTTATGGAATGAATAGAAAAACTTCTACTTTTTTCTTAATTACATAGCAATTTCTTTAGGTCTATTGTTTACATCACTTTCAAAACATATGAACTGGTTAGGAAGTTGTAGCTGTTTTTGTTTAGTTAACGGTTAAAAGAATGGCAAAATGTTCCTGGTTGGCGGATTGAGGATGAATATATGAATGATGAATTTCAAAAAAAAAGTGTAAATACAGAAGTTTCAAAATGGCAGCACATCATTTTTTTTAATGGAACGCCCTATATATAATTAGCTTAAATCGCAGATCTTTTTTTCCTGATTTCAAAAACATTAGTTTATTGACATTTCACATAGTCGTTTTTGAGATATCTCAGTTTAAAAATAATTATCATTCGATTTCTGGACAATAGTCATTGTTTAAAAATGGTCAAGTCTGCCTTGATAGCAACTATATTATATATGTTTGCAATTGTTTGACAACTAATCAAAACTAAAAATCTGCAGCGTAAGTTAAATAACTTAACATATTTTATACTCCACAGTCGCAATCAAAATGGGACACAGTGTACTGGGCACTTCATTAGTTTATACAAAAGTTTTATGGTTTAAATTAAATTTTAAAATTATTTATATTATTATTATTATATTATTAATATTTTTTATATATACATGGTGTCCGATAAGTGCTGGATCGACATTAGTTTTAAAATTTTAAACGGAACGCCCTATATATTTTGATATTTTTAGAATCCTTGCCAACTTATAGAAACTACTTATTCGAATTTTGTGTAGTTTAAACAGAAATAGAGATGGCTGGCAGTAATGACTTTCTCGATCAAATTTTAAACACATTTTTAGAAGACTTCCTTCGAAGCAGCTGCGATCACTAGATATTTTAAAATAATACAGGGTGTCTTAAATTAAAGGAATTTTTTTTTAAATTTCAACTTGCACTATTCATGTTTTTTTTTTTAATGAAACGCCCACGTTTCTGATATTTTTTCTTAAAGCGAGTCAAAATACCTATATATAATATATGTCCTATACCTAAATCTAATTGTTTTCGAAATAGCATATTATTCTTATTTTTTAATTAATTTTAAGAATTTTTGCAATGGATGATTTAGGAAATTGAAACGTCATCATGTAAAAGTAACATCAACGAGTAAAAGCAACAAAAAACCGTAACTGTAACAATTGAACTAAGGTAAAACAAAATAGAAAAGCTACATAGGTTTTTAGCGTGTCCACATTTTGAATAATGCACGTTGTATAAACAACCTCTATATTGTTTATCGGTGTTTGATTTATTTATCATAGTGCATCTTTCTTTATATACCATATCTTTAATTTTTCCTTATATAAAAAAATAAAGCTGGTTAAGATCTGGACTTCGAGGTGACCACCAGATGTTGGCATTTTATGCTCCCAAATATGGTAATTTTGATTTAAAAATTCATTGATATCGTTTCCCCGGTGGTACGGAGCGCCATTTTGCTGCCCTCTTAATTGAGCACATTCACAAGCCGGTGTTTCATTTACTATTAATGATTGTATTTAATTTTTGGGCATATTAAATATCGTCTAGAGTTTAGGTTTTCATTAGAGAAAATTGGCCCTATAAACTTTTTCGGAATATTCTGCACCACACTTTCACAGATAGGCTACTTTGTCGTTTTACTTTAAACACCTTTTCACATTAAACTCCAACGCGGCTTGACTAATGGAGCATTCTCAAAATGTAATAGTATATCCACTGCTTCTCCTCTGTTAGAACTTGTAGTGGTCTTTTCTTGGACGTTAGCAGAAGGCTTTGCATACATTCTTCGAAACATTTTCTTCTCTGGAATCCGCCTTACAGGAAACTTTCTTTGATACTCTCTAAGAGTATATATAAGTAATAATAATATTGCTTTATTAGACTCACATCTGTCAAACTCCGACTCTTAATTATAACGTCACTTAAAACAATTATAAACACTTATTTGGTTACCACAGCCTAGTAGGGTGTAAAGTAAGTTTCATAATAATATTATTACGCCTTTTAAAAAAATGGAAGTTTTTTACTAGTAATGAAAACTTTATTTAAATATGCGAAATCTTAATAAATTGTCCCATCATTCGTTGAAACAATCATTAAAAGTGAATAAAATATAGGATATGCCATTATAAAATTCTATTTGATTTAGGTATAGGTAAAATATATACCAAATTATAGGTATTTTGGCCCGCTTTAACAAAAGAAAATAAAAAGTATGAGCGTCTTATTAAAAAAAAAATGAAAACTGCAAGTTGAAAGTTTAAAAAAATATTCCTTTAAGATACCCTGTATAATTTTAAAATTTCTAGTCATCGCAGATCGTTAGAAGCAAGTCTTCTAAAAATATGTTTAAAATTTGATCAAGCAGTCATTACTGTCAGCCGTGGAAGACCTTATTTACTAAGAAGATAATTTTGCATAAAAAAATATATAATCTCAGTTTCTATAAAAGTTATGTTTATTTTTGGCAAGGATTCTAAAAATATCAAAATATATAGGGCGTTCCGTTTAAAATTTTAAAACTAATGTCGGTCCCCTGTACACATAAAAAATAAATAATTTTAAAATTTAATTTAAACCATAAAAAATTGTTTTTTTTTCTAAAATCATTACTTCCTGAGAAAAGGTACAGACCACTAATAAAGTATCCACTCTGTACATTGATAAGCTGTCGATAAATTTATTTAGAAAAATCTTTTCAAATTTTTGATGTGAAGAAAATTTCCCGTGGTCCCTTCCCCCGAATAACTTCAGACTTTCTTTCCTTTGTGTTTTTCATTCCATCGCGGCCTTGGACGGTCGAAAGCTAACTACTACGGTTCCTCCTAGCAGATATCGAGTTTCGGATCCCATTTCGGCTTCAATTTGCCCACGAAAAACAACGAATTAGCCGTTGACGTCCAGGTGACCAAGGAAAACGTCAAACAATTTCCCGGAAGTTTCCCGCAACAATCGAACTTCGACCTGTTGTCCACCAACCCACCGAAACCGTTGACCTACGAGGTGACGGAAGGCAAATGGTTGGACAGTCAGGATATTCAGTACAGGCCGCGCAACCAACCCTTCTTAACGCCCCCTAACAAGGCCAAAATTCAATCCGCCAGGCCGGGATTGTTATTCCAAGACGCTTCGACCCCCAGCCCCCCGATTATACAGGCGCCGCTGGTCGATCTGAGCGTCCCCGCCTTTTTACCGACCCCATACAAGCCGGAAAACTCGGTAGTACCGACGTCGCCGACGCGAGACGACGTCTCGACCATTTTCTCGCAAGTGAGCAAGAAAATGAACAAGCACAGGCATAACGCGTTGAAGACGAACCCCCTGTTCTTCAACATCAACGAAGTGTCCACCCATTATCCCATACTGGGCGTGCCGGAAGTCGATACCGAGCCTGTCACCGAGATCCAGTCGGGAATCAACGAGAACATAGTTATATCGGACGAGAGGGGACAGCAAAGGGCCAGACCGACTCAGGCTACGACCCAGAGAGATCCGACCAAGACGAGAATTTCGAACAGGAGGAGACCGAGGCCAAAGAGACCAACCACCACGACCACTACCGAGGAGACGGTGGTGGACACGTACGAACCCGTCAGGTCTGACGAGATGGAAAACGAACCGCCGCCGAGAAGAAGGAGGCCCAGACCCACCCAGCAAAGGGTGCGGGAGCAGGAAGAGGTTACCAGCGAACCGCCGGTGGAGAGAAAACCCACGAGCCACGAGTCATCAACCAAATTGAGAGGTACGTGGCATTTGTTACTTGTAATATATATCCTTCCTGCATTGGCTCTTCTACCTCATCTCTCCATGATCTTCTCTACCCTTTCTTCCTTCTTCCATCTGTCCCACGATCTTCTAACATGTCCATACCATAGGAGTCTATTGGTTTCCAGGTGATGTATTACATCGTTTTGCGTTCTTCATTCTTCAGTTCTTCGTTTGTAACTCTGTCTCTTCTAGTGAGGCCACAACATCTTTTTCAATACTCTACAATCATTTTATCGTTTTTATTCATTTCCTATACCTCAGCTGCATACGTCGTTATACTCTTTACAATTGTATCGTATATATTATTTCTTCCTCTGTAGTATCATTTTTGGACAATGTAAATCCCAATATCTGAAGTTGTCTGTTCCGCTTATTTCAATGGTATTTCTGTAAATTGTGTTCCTCAAGTTTGTTCTTCTTCTGGTCATCCTCGAAATAAAGTGTGTACAGGTATTCATTATAGGAACTCGCATTTTTTCGCATTTACTTTCCAGGAATATCTTGAAAAGCGTTCGTTGAAGTTGGGCATCCTGATCATTGTAGATTGATAAAAAAGATTTTCTTGGGTGTTCAGACGTTGGGCTTGGTTGCGAATTCTCTCCCGGATTGACAATGCCAGATCTTTAAATTTGTTTACTGGGTGAACCCGGAACAAATTCCTCTAAAGCTGAATGTTGGTGGTGTGGTAGGTTTGGGGGTACTATTTAACATATTAAAAGTCCCCGCCCCTACGAGAGTGACCAAGTTCTCAATTTTTGACGAATATCTCCATTATTTTCCGTTTTTATGGAAAAAGACATGCTACCATATTTAAAGATATTAAAATTCCCTACAAAATGATATGTGATATGATGATGATGATGGTGATGATGGTAAGAAGTTGCTAATCCGGCCCATGGGGGATTTAGTCAGATTAGTCTAAAAATATAAAAATATATATGCAAGCCCCAAAAAGCAAAATCTGAAAGCAGCAAGATGATATATTAATAAACTCATTATGATTAATAAATTTTGGAATATCATTTGAGAGTGATTTATATAAGAATTGTATATGAATTTAACGCGGTTTAAAGCTTTCAACTCAATTGAGAGCTTATCATAATAAATATCACGAAAAACGACGACTACATCCATAATGAAGACACCAACGACAGAACTTTCAAATCAACGAAGTGTTGTTTACATGATTCAGTTCTGTTCAGCACAAAATATTATTGTTATAGTTCTCTCTCGTAGGATAAAAGGCCACTGCCACCATAACATTGGCGAAAAAAGCAGTTTGTGGGACATCATGAAAATAACAAGATTTTCCTTATCCTATCTAAACATAAGAAAATGTTTTTCTATGGTTGAAAGAATCGCCATAGTTTATAGTTTGATTTTTATTGATGTTTATTTTTATTTTGTTTGTTGTAAATTTCTGCTATTTATTTTATTTTAAAATTAATTGGATAATAAAGAGGTCGGCATTAGCAAAAAGGGATATTTTAGAATATTACCCTTTGGAACATAGCCAGGACGCAAGCGATTGAGTACAGTTAAAATGCAACCACACACCGATCTAGCGTGCGGGAAGCGTCACTTTACCACGTGAGTTTCTTGTCCCACGGTTTCGAGCCCTTTCGGACATTTCCGGGATTTTACCGCACGGGTTTGAGAGCAATCGGATGTTTTCCGAGATTTTACCGCACGGTTTGAATTTTGACGGTCATGTCCGTGTTATTTTGCAAAAATGAATCCAAAAACTAATACACAGAAAAATGTTATGCAATATATTAGACAATTTAAATACTACGTGCTATAAGCTACAATTAAAATCTAGTGGACTAGTCGGTAAGTTACGTGGCATTTATAATTTAAGTTTCCCACTGAAATTTTACATACCGTTCGCGTGAACTTTAGTGGTTTTTACAGTTTTTATATTAATATCTTGCCAAGACGAATTGGGCCATTTTCAAATATCCAGGTCTCATCAGTACAGACCAAACAAAATTGAAGGTTAGGTCCTGTATTTCCTTGCTTATACGGACTTAAAAATTGAATCCTCGTAAAAGCTCTATCTTTGGATGAGTTCTCTAGATCGGTGTGTAATGAAGTATTTTACAGACGGAAGTAGAAAAACTCTCATCGCTCCGCAGGTGTCAAATAAACTCGTGAGTCAAATGCCGTTTACCACACTTGTTGCATAATATTACTATTTTCTATTCCTTTGGCCACTCGACTGACGCAAACAAAGACAAACATAGTTTAAAAATACTATGTTAATCCTATACAAATTTTACCTATAGAAATTACTGGACCTGTGGAAATAAGTTTCTTAAGAAAAAACAAATTATATGCATTATAGTAACTTTTAGGTTATAACCTTGGAAGAAAATTATAACATTTTGGAACTCTGTGATATGTAGGTACTATATTACTAATTTTAGTTTGTGCCCGTTAGAAGATATTTTTTATTTTTAAATTATGTAACGACATGTCGAGAAATTGGTGCTGAAAGGTTGCAGATGTGTGATGATGTGGCATCGTTAGTTTGGCATTATTTCTAGTATTAATATTGTGGACAGTTTTACGAAATATTAGGCGATTTTTTGTCTAAAATGGTGAATTTATTACCTTAAACAACGAGAAATGTAGGATTCTTCCCTCATTCATTTTGAGCCATTTTATATAATTGTATAAATGTGATACATGAACAAATTTCCTCACATCATAGAAATTGTTTCAGTTGTTTACTTCAAATATGTCTATTGTGATATAAAACTTTCATGGAGGCAAAGAATTTTTGAAATATAGTTTTTTAGGTGTTCTTTGAATCTAAGTTTGGTGTCCAAGATAACTCCCAGATTCTTGGCACATTTTTTAAAATTTAATTTTGAGTCGCTGACCGCCGTATTTCATTTGTTCTTTAAGAAATTAACGTTCTTATCATTCCCAAACAGCATAACGCACGATTCACTTCGATTAAGTTTTAAGTTGTGGTCTTGAGAAGTCGGATTTAAAGTTTGAACATAATCAATAATCAATTTGTGTGTCATCCGCAAAGGCTTGAATTTTAGAGAATTTTAAAGATTTCAAAATATCAGAAGTATAAATAAGGAAAAGCAGTGGGCCTAAAATTGATCCCTGTGGGACACCGGATAGAGTTTCTACCTTTTCCGAATATTTATCATTTGAAATAATTGATTCAAATCTAAAAGTTAAGTATGATTTGAGAAGAGTCTACATTGAAACCATAGTATCGCACTTTAGCCACCAATGGCTAATAATTAACTGCTTGAAGCTTGAAGAATATTATCCAATACATTAGTCAAAATTATCGACGTATGCTTGGACCAGAAATACAGTGCTTTTACAACCGACTCCCTGATTAACTTTGCCCACTGTTTATTACTCTAAAACCGTAGCCGAGCGGACCCTACCCCAGGAACGTTCTAGAAATTTATCTACCTACACATAAAAACATTAATACAAAGCAACAATTTATTACGTTGTATTAATAAACAAAATATTAAATATAATAATAATAAAGTATCAGTCACTTAAAAAATCGTCACTATCGCTACTGTGGTCACCTAGTTCAATGATCAATTCCGCCACAGTTAGGCCAGCTGATATTTTCTGATATATTAATTTCTTGTTTATTTGAAGAAGTATTTGGAATTTTTCTAATTTGGGCTAAATGATACGAGGCAGTATCCAACAAAATAACAGTATTTGGCGATAGTTTTGGCAACAGTTTATATTCAAACCAGTCCTCAAATATTTCCGCCCCCATGTTTCCACGGTAATCCGCATTCGAATCTTTGACGTTTTTGCTTTAATATTTATTTGTTTTGGTTGGGCAGTCATTCGGAAATACCTCGCAGCATTCGAAATTTTCAAGCATTGTGCCATTCAGGAGAATTTTGCTTTCTTTAAGTGCTTCGTTCAAAAAATTCTGATAAATTTGCACACAACAATTGAAGACAACAATAAGTAAGAATTATTATGTGTTTTGCACGTGAAGGCGGCACGTCTAGTACACCCTTGTATTGCAATAATCCAGCCTCCATTGTGATGTTCTTTCACATTCCATTAGTTTATTAATTGTTTGGAACTGAAAATCCATTTTTTTCAAAAAAGTACGCAACAACTTTTTGGTACAAATCATATTTAAGTTTGTCAGTACTTTTTTATGCAGTTCTTCTAGGATTAAAACGCTATTCACTTTATAAGCGTCGTAGATTATACGCCTAATTAGATCTGAGTGTTAAAAACTGGCGAAGTACCAGCGTCTTCTCTCACTTTCCTCTTGACTATCCCATTTGCAACAATTTTTCTTACAGCTGATTTCGGAACATTGGTCATGTCAGTTCCCCTTCTGAATTTCTTTTAAAATTGTATTATATAAAACCCTTTACGAAAACCACATTGGGAATGATGTTATTTCTTGTCCAAAAATCGACCATCTTCTTCAACATCAACAACCACAACATGATGTTTTATTACTTTTACGCATTCAAAAACAAGGTTAACTTTTTCATCGGTTCGCAGGTAGGTACAGGTACAAGGTACGAGGCAGGAACCCGACCTCCCAATCGAACGATGTCGGAGGCAACGCGAGACCAAAGGAGCGACCCAATTACCCGGAACGAATAGTGCAGAAAACGGTGGCGGAACCGAAATATACCCAGGACACGTCCGAAGTGTCCGTGGAACAAAACTCCGTCGAAGGCGAAATTTCCTCTTCCTACTCCGACGAATCGAGCCGGCAACAAGAATCGGAAGAGCAACACGACTTTGGCAGGTTCCGAGGTCACACCACCGCTCAACCGTTCATCGAGGAAATACGGACGTCCGCTGCGCCTGAAAACGAAGTGGATTATACTACCACGACCACCACCGCCGCCACCACCACCGTCGAAGAAGAGTACGTGACGCAAGCGGTAGGCACCACGCCCCCTAGCACCACGACCGAAACCAGAACCACGAAATCATCCCGGATACGCAACCGTCTCAACAAATTCAACGCGTCAAATCGTCCGCGGTTCAGCGTGAAAGATTACCGCCAGAAACTGGATCAGTTGACGTCGACCACGCCCACAACGACAACGGAATCGCGCAGGTCGACCCAAAGCATCGCGAGGTTGAGGTTCCCGAGCAGATTGCGCGGCAAAACGGGTGCGACATCGACGGCCACCATTAACAGGATCGACGAGGACTCCACGGAGCAAACCACCACCCTGAGGACGAGATTCAAGCCGAAAGAGCCTAGACATCAAGCGACGACCGAAAGCGACGTTACGACCGAAGAAACGACAACGACGAAGGTGTCCATCAAGCCGAACCTGTTCTCCGCAAGAAGAAGGGCCCAGTACCCTAACCTCAAAGCTAGGATACAGAACAAAACGAAGAAGAGCGAAGATGAAGAGACGACGACGACCGAAGAGGCGACGAACCCGACGGAGGTGTTGACCACAGAGTCGACGACGCCGGAGACGACGTCCAAAACGACGGAAGAGACGACGACGACGGAGGATATTATGAAGACCGACGCCCTCATGTATTCCCAAAGGGTGTCCGATCTGACGTCATCGTTCAAGGACGAATACGACACTCCGGGGTTGTTCAAGTCGGTTTCGCCGACGAGCCGGAGGATTCCGAGTTATTTTACGATATCGACGGACGATCCGATCCTCCCAATCGAGGCGTTCTTCCCGAAGCTGAAAGATGGCGGCGAGAGGACCGCGAGCGAGAGCGCGTAAGATGACGGTTAAATATTAAAGGTGACACCCGCGGACACTATTTACAATTGACGTCTGTGGCCTCTAAAAATCGATATTGCTGACACATCGATGACAATACCAATCAAAAAAGTTGAAATATTTTTTTAAATATCTTCGCTAGACCAAGACTGACCGACGATGTTAAGTCACAGAATATACAAACACTTCAGAGTCGAGTTTGAGAACAGTTGAAACGTAAAAAAAAGCTCACGGGCACAGAAATTGCTTCTCGTAAATATTGGAAATTCATGCTAAGCGGTGCGCCACCTGGCGGCACTATCTCTGAACTAGTTTCTAACCTTCATTGCCTTAATATTTCCGTACGTCAATCGAGAAAATATCCGAACCATTTATTCTTTATTAAAAAAACCCTCACAGCTTTATAACTACCCAAAAATAACGCGGAAAACATAAAAAGCAACATAAAACAATGCATGAAATAAAAGTAAGGTTAAGATTTGACGTATTAGTATGTAGTTCAGCGATGCCCCGCTCGGGCGCTGCATTCATGATTTTAATTCCCAATAACAGGTTTTCTCAATGTTTTTCTTAAGTCTATTTATAAGTTTGTTCAATCGAAAACTTTTTGGGTCTTACAATAAATCGACGATTTCAAAGGTGTGCGACCGTTAGACGAAAATGTTTTATATTTACCTGATTTTTTAAAGAAAATTTTGAAACCTAGGAGCAGAAGGTAACTAACTGAATGAAATCCAAAAATCAGAATTTCTTGAAGTGATGTTCGATGTTTTCCGAAGTAATCAATTCCCACCCTTTTAAATTTATCCGCCCGTTTATGACAAAACAACAGAAGTTGATTAGTTAGGTTCACATACTCATCAAAATCATGATATCCCAACGCGTTTAAGAAAGAAAAAAGGCTAATGTTCTTTCTAATTATTAAATTTTTCCAAGAGGTTAAGATTTATTTTCTAGCGGAAGTCCTTATTTAAGTAGGTGTATATTCTGTGGTAAAGTTTTGAATATAGGAGACAATCTAATTCAAAAACAGCAACAAAATAACCATATTTATATGCCTCCCTTGTTCTATGGTACTGATATTTCAGTAAATTTCATATCGTCATAGCGTTTATATTTTTTAGAACTTTGAGACTCGCATTGGTATAAAAAAATTGCGTTGTTGTCTGTGCCCTAACGTTTTACTTTTATGATGCACATTTTTTAATGTCACTGGCAAACCAATCAACAATCTGAGGGTTATTGACATCTTACGCGACAGTTGGCAGCACCTTCGTAAATAATCTGCGAGCTTCGTGCGAAAGTAAAAGTAGAAAGACAGCAGAAATCTGCGCAGATTTTGGATTGGGACGACCCAATCGAATTTTAACCAAATGAGTAAGTGCAATTCTGTAAAAATATGAAATTATTTATTTTTTCTAGGATAATATTTAGTGTAGTACGTAAGCGTGATATTTTGTACCGTAAAAATAAAAACGAATGTTTAATAAAATTTAGTTTTATTAACAATAGTTAAATAATACAAAAGCGTACATAAATACGTTTAAGTTGACGCTTTACACTGGCGATTATAAAACGGCAATTTAAACGGAATTAACAAACTGGTAATCACACTTTCGAAACGGTTACGTTTTTGGTAGCACTGAAAAGAATGTATACAAAAAAAAAGGAGAATTAATTTTAACTTAACGTAATGATTAAAGCAGAGGTTAGCCGAATTAGTAAGGTCCGTAAACTAGGTAAAAACAACTAAATGGTCCCTTTCCTATTATAACCAAATATACATACAAATTTGAAATCAAAATTTTCTTTTTCAATCGTTCGATCCCGATAAATAAAAAAAACGCATTTTAACTATATGGCAGCGAAATTTACAAAACTTGACAAAACGGTGTATAAAAAAATTAGGTGTAAATCGTGCAACATTGACAACGCCGTATAACACAATTCCCGCGTCTCCAACTAGCGAAACTGGCGATTATCGCTAATTGAAAAAGCACCGTAAATTATTTCTTTACAAAAATATGAACAATTCCGTTTAGAATATACGAAGCTATAACTTATGTCAGTCATTGTTAAGTCGAAATAAGTTAAATAATTCTATCTAAACCGTTACAACCTAAAGGGCTCCCTATTCTCGATCGACGATGACTTTTTCCTCGCTTGTCCGGTGGGCGTGTCCGACGCCCCGGACGAACGTCTCAGCAAACGCTGAACGGCAGTTTGCTGATCCGGATGGACGGGAGTGTTTGATCCGGATGGGGTCCTTGTCCTAAAAACGGGTTTAAGACTGTATAACCTCTCCGTCCGCTGCGAAATGGGCGTGGTCAACGTTAAAACTTGAATTAACCTTTGTCCAGGAGATCAGAAACGAAAGCTTGCCGTATAATGAACTTTTCAAGTAAAGATAACTAGCTGGTTCTTGCAATCTTACAATGACATGATTTTCTACAGATACGAAAGACAATCAATTAACTGAAGAAGTTAAAAAACTTAATTAAGCAGATCATACAAAGTGGATAATTTGAAGGAATCACTGGACACGATATTAGAAACTTGGTATTTAGAGTGGTATCTTCAACTTTCAACATTGTTCGCTATTCAGGGTTGTGCACGATAAGTGTCTTATTAGACGTTTATGACTTACGGTAAAAACCTGAAATGTTGGTTACTCATGTAAGTGAATACGAGCTGCCTATGTAAAATATTTCTGACCATGCGGTGTTGCCAGATATGCCCCTAACGTATAATTTTTCAAAAAAATTTCCACAGGCTACTGTAATACTTTTTACAAAACGTCTGGATTCCTCCTGCATCGGTTTTTGCTGAGTCGAACTTGCTTGCGAGTTCCAACTTTGAAGGATATAACCCAAAGTTTAGACTGTAATTATAGAGGATCTGTAGAGATTTTAAAGAAAGCGATAAAAGAAATACGGTTTCGATGGAGAAAACCCAATAATAATGGAAAGATTCTTATGGACATTTTCTTCGAAGAAATGCAGGGAAGAAAAACAACCTATAATTTCTATGGATGAAACATAGATACATAAAAAATGGCTTCAAGACAAACCGATTCCAAATATTCCACCAAACAGCGTATTGATTATAGGCAACGCGCCTTATCACAATGTTCAAATTGAAAGACGGCCCACTTTTGGATAAAAATGCATAAACCTACATTTAAAAGTTATGAAATAGACAAACTTATGGCTGACGCATGACATTCTGTTTTAGGACTTCCTCCCTATCATCCGGATTTAAATCCTATTGAGTTAGTGTGGGCAGCTCTAAAACATTATGTAGCAGAGAAGAAGAGACTTTCAATTTCACAACGTGGATAAATATTCTGATGATCGCTATATCATTTCATGGAAAAAGAACCAACTCTGGACTTAATTGTAGACGAATTAATGGTAAACTTACAGGATGATTCCGACAGAGGAAATACAGATTTCGTAGAAGAAAGTAGTACAGATTCGGAAAGTGAACTTTCGGGGCTTGAACCGCTATAAGCCTCTAGCGTATTTTTTTTTATCTTTTCAGCTGGGATTTATTAATTTACTAATATAATTTTATTTCAGATTTTTTGAGCTACTTCAGATATGACATTTAAGTTAATTTTTTAAAATAGAAACCATAATTTTTTATTTCATTTTTTGAATCTAGGCGAAATTCTAAACATACGTATATGATACTTTCGTTTCACAGTATTCGAATCGCATAATATTGAAATAAAATGTAAGTTTATTTTAAGAAAGGCAAGTTGAAAGTTGAAAACCTGTTCCACATTTTTTTACCGTTTTATTTTAAGTGTGTCGTTTAAATGCGAGGTTTTCTCTGTCAGCTCTTTTTTTCTCACAGCACATCGAGCTTGTGGTAATTTGTATTTATTAACATTTTAATCAACAAAAACTACTGTTTTTGATGTCATTCTGAAACTTTTTGAAACCTTTTTTTCTTTGGTGTTAATCTAATGACTTAACTTTATGCGCTATTTATACAATCCTTATCTTTTTTTCCGAATGCTGTTCACTAGGCACAGTTGCACTTCAGTCTTGTAAAACAATTTTTTGCAATAAAAAGGAGAATTAAAAGTTATAACAGTTTCTCGAAAAAGCAAAATTTTGAAGTATACATTACTTAAAATTTTCCCTATTTAACTTTCTATTATAGCATACACTGTACAAATATTGACAGATACAAATCAATGAGTTTGCCACGCTCTAAAACGAGAAAAAAAATGCTCTCTTGTCACCTCTACAGCAACCGACTCTGGCGGTTCTCTGCGCAAGAAGCTAAGAAAAAAAAGTGCCTTCGTATATTTGTTGAGCTGTACTTGACCTTCTACGATATTAATTAATTTTGAGAATGCCTTCACATTGTACTGTATTGCACTGTAAAAGATAAATCTTCCTGGACAACATTAATTATTCAAGCTGTAACGCTCTGTCTAGCTAGCTACGTTACCCGCGCTACTCTACGTTAGTCCACCTATGAACGCAAAAAAAGTTAAGTCGTTAAATTACCTAGAAGCGGTCCTTAATGTGGGAGCGACGCCAATGGTCACTTGCCTTACTTTGGTGGTACTGGCGCTCCTGCAGTTAAAAAAAAAAAACACACAAACATTCGCGTTAGTAGGTCTGTTAAAAATCAGTGGGTACGTTAAACGTCACACACACACGCTACGTGCTACGGCTACGGGCTAACTACGATGACATGTGAACTTATCGTTTTGATTTCTCCATCGCCTACGTCTACTTATTTACTAAACAGACCAGGGTGCATCCAATATTTCTACAAGAATGACATGCAGACCGACGTAAAGTGCCAGTGCTTCGGAAACATATCTCTCACAACACCGATTTACCTCTTCAGGAGAGGTATCTTTGACTTGCTCGACCTACTGGCAGTAGATTTGCCGCTGCACGTTAGCGAGACCACAACAAATATTAGTTAGTAACACCCCAACAAGAAACAACCCAATTTAAAAAACATGCTTTTGAAAACAAATCGAAAAAGTGTTTCAAATCGTTGATTAACTTAACGCACGTAGGTTAAAATTACAGAAAAAAAAAAAACGCTGCCTAAAGATGGAATTTTTAGTGTTTAAACTCAAAAAAAAAACTCCATGCACGTCTAAAGCAAACATTTACCCAGAAGAAAATGATATAGAGCAAGAACTCGACGTAGACGGAGATTCTGGCTCATCTCTACTTGATCCTTTGTAAATTGGTATGCGAGACCTTTTAATACCAACCAAATCAATTATGGTAATCATGAACTTGACAAATTAAAACTTGATTCTAATCGGTTATAAACGGCGTAGTTGTGATCGAATGGCCAAAACATCGAAAGGTGCATTATAAAATTGAAAGCAAGAAGAAATAAAATAAGACGGTCTCTTGAAATTTGCATAGCCAAAGAGTCGATCGATAGCCACCCCGAATCACAAACGAAGTATCCCAAAACCGAAATGAAATTTTGACGTATTAAATCATTATTATTCTAGTAAACTGCGACTACGCTATTAAAATGGTTTCCAGTTAGACCAAAAGTTTTTAAAGTTAACGTACTATTAATTATTTGTCAGTTTACTAATTACAAAACTTCTGGATTCCTCCTGCGTCGGTTTTCGCCGATCATCCTGTTAGCTTCTTCAGAGTTTGACTGAAACTGGCTGGCATTTTGCTCTGTACCTGCTTATATATTCTATGGGGGGGGGGGGGGGAGCTAAAGCATAAACATGGCTTCGGATGACAGATAAAGACCTGATTCACAGTTAAGACTTTCTGGTTGCTTACAGATCACAGATTTTTCGTTGGCTAGAAGAATAAGATTCATCAACAAACGCTGACGAGTTTATTTTTCGTAGCCTTAAGGCTTTTTCACGTTCTTTGAGACTAGTTGACACTTTCCGACCTGGACAATTTGGTTTTGACGTTATATTTCTTAAGAACGCTTGATATGTGGTCAGTGATGTTTTCAATGTAAGAAAGGACAACTCCACACACCTCAACATACGTTTTAGGATTGAATTAGAAACTAATAATAACCTCTCATTCTTAAATATTCCTATCAATAGAATTTTATTCTTCTACAAACGAAATCAGAACCAATAGAAATGTATAAGCAATCAAACAATCTTAACCGTCACTAATATGAATGTCATCCAAGACAACGTTCATGCTATTCTTTTATCGCGAGCCAGTTTCAGCGAAGCTCTGAGGAAGCCAACAGGATGATTGACGAAACGTCAGCAAGTTCGACTCCGCAAAAACCGACGTAGGAGGAATCCCTGTTTACGGTAAAATTCTAGGCTTTTAGGACAGATTTAACACAAACAAACGAAAAAACTATAGTTGCATTACTGAAAACGCATAATGTATTTTTACTTCGACGTTTCGGCCATGTCAATGGCCTTTCTCAAAAAGTTTTTGGACATAACGTACCGCAAACAAAATAACGATCTTTTTATAACCAAAACTTTTATAAAAAAAATTCTTACCTTGAACGTGAATATACAGGTGCTTAAAAAAGTTGGACGTCACACACATAAATGATGTAGTATAAACAATTACATTGTTTTTGGTTTTCTGTTTTCTATCTCCTCAAAGTAATCACAACTGTTGCTTTATACGGTATCGAGGAAACGTGCATGCCACCTGACTAAGGTTATTGAAGAACTGAATAATATATTCTAATGTTTCTCTTTTTTTAAATTATGTTCGGCTTATAGTATTTTGAACACCCTGAAAACGGAATTTATAGTTTTGCTGGATATTGGCTGGTTTGGTTTGATACAGGATGTATTGCAATTATTATACATGGAATTTCGTAAACAACATCATTTCTTTTGTTTAGTGGTGTTTTTGGTTTGGGTTTAGGAAATGTTTGAGATATTAGATTGTAACCCTTATGGAAAGAAAAGGTATGAAAATTTACTTTTTGAGAAAGGCCATTGACGTGGTCCAAATATCAAATTAAAAAGACATTACGTGTTTTCAGTAACGCAACACCAGTTTTTTTCTTGTGTATGTGTTAAATATGACCTAAAATCTTAGATTTTAACGTAAACCTTTGGGTCAAAGAATTGTGTTTAATCGTAGTTAGAAGAATTAATTAAAAAAAAAAACTGTACTCTGAAAACTGTACCTTATAACCTAAACAAATTTCTAACACACTGCCGGGTCCGAATTTAGAGTTTTCGTCTGAAACCACAAAAAAAAACATTCAAAATTTCAATTCGAATCCACCTCTGACCACCCAATTCAATCCCACTAATTTTCTTTTACAACTACAAAGAAGCTAGTCGCATATATATCTGATTCACGTTTACCTTGGCGAGTTAATTCCGGTTAAGGTTGGTATGCTCGAAGCTCTAGGTATCCCGGACGATCTACCGGTATTAGAAAACACATGCCCAAGATTAGTGACAAGTTCGTATCGCATACGCTCAATCAATGTGCTTTGTTATTGATAAAAAAAAACCTTCATTCCGTTATAACCATATTATGACAACTTTCATCAATTCGGATTTATCAGAACCAGTTACACAACAAAAGTATAGAAAATCCATATTGCAAACGAATGTGGTGATGCCAATGCGGCAAAATTTCTAGATGATATAAACTTTTTTGTTTCGTGTCTAATTTCTTATTATAGCACATACACAATCTAATTTGTGAAAGGAACATACTGGATAGATGCGCACTTGATAAGATAATATAGTAGTTATGTCTCCTAATGTTAGTCCTAGAGCAAGTCAAACCACGTGACGAAAAACGCCTTCAATGAAAAGTGATTCAGTCAAATGCCATCCCAAATGTCAAGTATGTCGTTATATCCTGTTTTTGATATACACGGCGTTTCATTAATAATCGGAAATATTTCAAATGAAGAATTAAAATGCTTAAACCAATTGTGGCCTATTGCGTTCAACCTACAACCTTTTTGACTAGCTACTAGATGCTTTGCGCAGGCCGACAACCGCTGATATCGAATATCGAAAAATGCTGAGAAGTCAATTCGCAGCGTAGGGTATGTACGGGTGATTTAAAAAAAAATGTCATAATGTTATTTTAAACAACTTCTGTATAAGAGACTTTTTTCTGTCATTACTGATTTCGTTCGCCAGATTTGTCGCCTTGCGACTTCTTTCTTTCGGGTTACCTGAAAGCGAGAGTTTTCACACATCGCCCGCGGACTTTGGAAGAATTAAAGGCAGCCATAAGACAAGAAATTGCCTGAATTTCCCATGACCCATCGGGTAATGATGCGCTTCCGTGAGAACCTATAAGAGTGCATCAGTTTTAAAAAATAACAAATGGCATAAAATGTACATTTCAAAAATAATTTAAAAAAAAAATGTTTGCTTTATGTGGTTTGGTTTTTATTAAAATCCCAAATAGCACCTATCATTTTGCCGCACCCTGTATGTATTTCTTTTTTTAATTCTCTCTAGCAGCGTCTACCATTTTGAATGAATGTTTATGTAATTTATATGTTATATTTTATTTTATAAATTTTTAGGGAGTTGCATAAGAGCAACTATGTTGGAAGCCGCCCCCACAGTTATATATTTTTATAACCGAATAAAGGCCCTTTATTATTATTATGGTGTGGTCGAAACAATTGTCATATTAAAACATATAGTTTAGTGAAAATCTGAACTTTTAGTTCTTATTTATCTTGTCCCGGATTCCTCCTATGCCGGCTGTTGATGTGTGTATTAAGTCGAAAAAACAATTGAGAAGAAGAAAACTTTTCGCCGTCACAGCTGGTAAACACAAACGGCAAAACTACATTTGCATCATTTATAACGTTTCTAGCTACTACTAGAGGTGCGCAACAGGCTCAGATAATTGGTTTGTATATCACTCAGGGGCCGCATTTTATCCAAGAGGTTAACATCATTAATGAAACGCCCTGCATATCCAAAATAACGTTCGAAATGGTCAATTTTATTCAAGGCTCTACCCTACCGTGGAGCCGGGCTAGCCGGAGACCTCAAACCGCTAGGAGTCCGCGGTCTTGAACTGGTCCCGTTGAAGGTGGTCTTACGAGCAGTCGAAAGGGCGGAGCTCCGTCCGGAAGACGTGGGCGTCTTTCTGGGTATTCTCGAGGGTGTATCGTCTGAAATACGGCGTAAAATTAACACTCCTCTGGTCATTTAGCTCTAGTAACCGTCACCTGTACTGTCCAAAGACAAATTAGATCCGTGCCTAGACGGTGGCTTGCTACCAGGTCTGCTGCCCGTACGGGAAGTGGGTCTGGAATTACTCCTCGACCCTCCGGGTGTCAACGCCGACCTATACGACGGTTTTCTGGGTGTTCGGAAACCGCCTTCGTTATCGCTCAACGAGTCTGGAGTACCGGCCGACAATGAGCTCTTCGATGTTCTCGGCAGACTGCCCATTCCCATCGGCACCGACCGCTGCGATCTTTCCCGGACCTAACCAAATGAAATTGGAAAGTGTAATTTAAATTTGAAGAAAGTTAAAACAACGGCCACACACACACACACACACACACACACACACACACACACACACACACTCTCAAACGGTTTCTGCTTCGGCAGAGAGCTAGCACAACCACGCTGAGCATCAAACACGATGAAGTTATATCCAAATGAGATTAGACGTGTAGCCGATAAAAGATCTATAACGGACAGCCGATACAAAGAAAAATTGTGGATGAAAATCCTCTCCACACCTTATTGAGGATAGAAAAACGTTGATAAAGTTTGATAATTTGGCAAACTAATGTGTATGAGAAAAGTGGCTATTTAATGAGTAACTAAAATTAGCAAAAAGGAGGGGAAAACGCCACTTTTGACATACTGATTATAACCTAATTTTTCTGACGTTATTTATATTAGATTTATTCACTTTTTAATACTTTCGACTTTCGAAAAATCGATAAAAAACTGTATATGCATCTGTTAAAAAATTAAATGTTTTTTAAAATAAACAAGAAACAAGTCAAATAAAAAATATTATAGTCGGTAATATCTGTGATGGCGCAACCGGTAGTAAAACGGCAGACAAAATAAAGTAGATACTTTAACAGATGTTATTCAGTCCTGGTCAATGCAAAACGGCCGATTATATTACTTGGGAGAATCTACATGAAAAAATTATGATTTGTTAAACTACTACTAACCGAAAACTTTGTCTGATAAAAATTGCAACAATACCAAAAAAATATAATTTGCCAAAAGTAAATATACACGTAAACCATATTTAGTTCGTATTTACGATGAAACATCTTCATCGTCGGAGCCAAAATTGGAACCGCTTTAACAAATGATGGTAGCGTTATATCAGATTCTCATTGTTTTTATTATATTTTCAGTATGCAATGATCCAATTTTCTTTGGTAACTGAGCTCTCCAGACAGTCACCAAAACCAATACAGTTAGTATGGAAGACAGCTGCGTTCCGTAATTTGCCTCACTCACAATATACTTTTCGAAAAACATTTTGCACTGAGCCCACATCAATTCTATAGCATGAAATATACAACACCTATTTCAGCAATTATTTCGTCTGTCTTTTTGTAATTTTTAGCAACTCATATATCAGATAGTAATTTCTTCTTTTCTTGTCGATACATTAGGTACACATTCACTAAATCTAGAACGATATCGATAACATTATCCATAATAATTAAAGACGGCCCTTCGAGTTTCGGCAGCAGTTTTTCAAAAATGCAACTCTGATTTATAGGCTGGTTTTACGACCGGCTATGCCAACGCAAATTCACAGACCACAACATTTGCGAATTTCCAAACTGACAACACCGGGAACCTCGATCTGTCGTAGGTGGCGTTGAAATTAATCGATTAACGTCATTTATCTTCAATAACAAAACAAATCTATGATGAGTAAAAAAAAGTAGATATTGTGGTGATAAAATAGTATTACATTCATAAATTTTATTATTCGTTTTAGTTTTTAAAATAAAAAACTTATTTCTCCGCTATAAGTGTAGCGCCGGTCGACTTATGACTTAACCTTTATATAAGCGAAAAACGTATCAAAGTGATCGAATCATAGGTGACAATGACAGAAGTTTAGGCCTCATTCATACATGAATTCTATGGAAAAACACCATACAATAACTTTTTGTGGTAAGTTTAAATTGCTGACATTGAACCTGTTAGCAAACGCCGAATGTTGCTACATCTCTTGGATAAGCAATATAGTTTTTAGGTGTATGGTAAAAAATCATTTATCCTTATCAAGTTCGCAGCAAAAAAAAAAGTTAAACGCGTAACATACGTTTGACTTTTGTATAATTCTGACGCCTAATCGAAGAAACTTCACCGAAGCTGTTTAATATGACCGTGCGTCCTATTCTATTGTGCTTCCTCAGCGACAAAACCGACACTGATACTTACCAAAACCGTGTCAACTCCTTCAGGAGACGTAACCACTATCTATATAAAAAAAATAAAAACATTTTTCCCACCGATATGAAAAGTTGTACATAATCGAGAGGATTGCTAACCCTAGCGAATTCAAATATTCCGTAATCGTGTGTACTGACCTGTTGTATACCTACCATCGGCACCTGGGACAGATACAAAAGTTTGTGGTGGTCTTTTTCCGGTCCGATTACAGCAACTAAACGAATCGGACAACTTTAGTTTCCATAAGAGAATGCCGTATGTAGCGACACGACAGGGGATAATTTGCGAATCTTTGATAATCGATTTTAACGAGAGATATATCTGACAGCGCGCTCTCATGCCCCATGCAAACGACAGCTCTAGTTTGTACATTATTTGCGAATTGGCTAGAATATACAGCTAAGCACATACACGCTACGTTTGAAACGGCCCCCAAATATTGCACAAACGTGACTGTTCCGCGATCACAAGAAACCACACCTCCTAAATATAGAATGGCGATCAAGAATAAACAATGTGGATTAAATATACTGGAATTTTTAGTCTCGAGTCTGAAAATAAGTGAAAACTACCATCAAAATTTAAAAGAGACATTTCTTTTATCAGCAACATGCACATACCACTCAAAAATAGTGCGCCCCTGTAAAGACGTTTTTAGGCAACCAGATAATAAACTTAGGAAAAACGTTCAATATATTAGTATAGCGAATTAAAAAAATTTGATTTTCGATCATTTATATATCGTAAAGTAGCGGTGACCTAAAGGGGCTTACGATTACAAGAATAAAAAAGAAAAGAAAAGTAATCAAAAATCATTAAGCATCTCCCGAAGTTCGTCAATCTTTTGGTTGAATAATAATTATATTAAACAAATTTAAGAACATATATACTGTTTTTTAACCCAAAACACTTAATACAAATTGTTTACCAAAAAATATTATTAAAAATAGAGGGTGTTCGGAAACTTAAGAGGAAAGATCCAACCTAGTTAAAATAATGGTAGCAAGTCATGAAACAAAAATTCGAAAATGCATTTTTTTTTAATTTTATTTACGCTGGTATTTTACACACCGCCCTGATATAGTAAAAATCATCGTTAAAAAATAAAAGTGTTTCAGAAACCTGTCACTAGAGGGCACTTTACCTGGGACATTTTTTAAATTTTCCCTGTATTTTATTTATTTAAATTGACATTGCACAATAACACAGATTGTCTTAAGCAGAATTACAAATCCTCAAAAATTGTTATTCTTGTTTCAAGTCGATAAGTGTTATCGTTTAGCCACAAATCGATTTCTTATTCTCGGCTAGAATTTTACCCGTAAATGTGATTTTTACCTAACAGGACTTAATGAAATTTAAAAATCATCTTCACAATCCGCTGAAAATTAGTTTCTATTGAAAGAACTTATTGTCCAACACCCTGTATACTAACCAAAATTAATGCCTCTCCTTCACAAACATCAAAAAATAGTTCTGCGGTATGGTATATCATGTTTGATCTAATAGATGGCGGCACAACATTCCTTTCCCAGTTGAATTTGAGTGATATGTGGCGATAATTTCGGTGCAAATAACGTAATCATTCATTAGCAAAGTTAATTCTTGACCGTCCGGTCAGCAAAAACAAGTCCCGGAAGTAATAAACTTTACCCAATAGCAAGTGTTGGGATTAACGTGGGCCATATGAAGGGTGGGTCCAGCTGTGGAGCCCACATGCAGTGGATATGCATTGCCGATCTCTCCCCTTGCTCTTATCTCATCGAATATTGGCATTAGTTCTGCCAAGTGTTCATGGGCTACAGAATATAATACATGCAGTATCGTAACAATAATAGACTGAGCTGTGTTGTGTGCTGGTGTGTGTTCGTGTGTATGTGTCTCTATTACTCAATAGGGGATACCAACGCCACGATAGAGCGGATGTACCAGTCAAGGTGTGATTTTATAAATGTCATGAACTACTCTTTTAAAGCGCTGTACTTGCCAAACATCTTGGTTTAATTTTAATTACACATTTTGGGAGAAATATAAAAACATATCTTCGTGCATTTTACCAACCAAAAATATCAGTAAGCGATCGAAGCAAGTGAGAATATTGTACAGGGTTAATATCCACAATAGAGTAAAGCTCATTATCTCAATGGTGCCAAAGGTTATGAGAAAATGATAAATATAAAAGTTGTTAACCTTTGCACTTGGAAAAAAAATACACATTCAATACTAGCGTTACTCTCTTACAAAAACTACAATTTTTATTAAGGTCTATAATGTATTAAAAATGGGTATAGAGGAAGGGCACCTAATATGAGAATGGCACCTATGAGACACCGTACTTTTTGATTTTTTGTGATTTTTGTTTAAAAGTTAAGAAAATAAATAGATTTTGCTTATTTGCTTTGTTTTGTGGAAGTTGCGCTTTAGTGTTTGAAATAAATAAAACGCATTAAGACCTATGCGATGTTTGGAAAAAAAAAGTAAATAATTTTTTCACAAGGTTCCTAATATGAGATACAACAAGGTTCTTAATGTGAGATATCTCATATCAGGGGCGCTCTTGGTTTTTCTTATAATTTTTAGTTATTATTTTTTTTGCAGATACCTAAACATAAGAAAAGAAGAAAACTAACCAAAACGCTTAATGTTCCATAATGTCACTTTCGTTTGACAGATTGATAAATTTGATGTTCGTATAATTCCTTCATTGTCACGTTTGCCAATTTGTCAAAAAAGTGTCGTACTTATTTTGGAATGGATCGGATAACAGGTTGCTCATTTTGTTCGTTTGTCTTTCTAAGCACAATCTTTAACATTAAGAACCATAACGATATGTGTAAGGCAACAGAAGTGCAGAGAATCTTGTAAGTCGATTACTGCATTGAAATGGAAAGAAAGTCGCCAAATGCGACTCATAGGATGTAGCAACACTAATTAGGCTCAAGAAATTGAGACTTACTTAAAAAACAACCCAGGAAAAGTTGTGACACACAACAATATTTACTGGCTATTTGGAAAAGCTTGTGATCGGACTGAAACAATGGAAGCATCAATTAACTCATTTAGCTAAACAGATCTATTTCCTTGCAACAAAAATGTCTTCAGGGGGACCGACTTCTTGGAAGAAGAGCAAAATTTGCCATTACGAGAAACAATTAATAATGAAAATGCATCATTCCATCTACCAAGATCAAGTCTGATAAATATAATTTGCTGGTTTCTCTAAAAGATGTCTGGCCAATGCCATCTAATAAAAGGAAAGGTAAAGCAAAACAAAAATAACTGGGAAGAATACCTCGGAAAGAAACTAAAAAAACGGAAAACAAAAACCAGAGTTATGTGGTGAAAAAGAAGCTTCTTAAGATTAAACTTTAGTGTAGTTACATTATTATTTTATATATTAAAATTTTATTTTAGTTCATTTCCTTATTTCTTTAGGTTTCCTATCACGTAACAGTCTTTTATTGGACTCCAAAGTATCTCACATTAGGAGAACAATTTTGAAAATAACAAAAAGGGACTTGTTTGAGTTTTTATTGCTTTACAAAAATAATTAAAAATAAATAAAAATAATAAATAATAAATAATAATTAAAAATAAATAAAAATATAATATTTAAACATTAAATTATTACCCCTTTATTAGGTCTCGTATTAGGTGTCTTTCTTCTATGTTACACCTATTAAAAGTTCTAGGTTCTTGTAGGATTTTTCGGAAAAAATAGTAACATATATAATGTGCAGTTTAACAAAATTTAGATTCGTTTATTACGAACACCCTGTAGCATATAATTCGAATTCCGTTGCATAAATATAATATCAAAAATCATAGCGCTATCGTAGTTTATTCACAAATTTATTTGAAAAACTATTAGGCTTAGGGATCTATTATTATTAATAAAAAAGTTGAAGAATTTTGAAACGAATTCAAAATAGCGTGTTCAATATAAAAAAAAGATGTTTTAATAGCCACGTTAGTCATTTTAAATTGTACGTAACATTTGAAACCATAGAGATAATGAATTTTACTCTATCATTGACCCTCGACAATAAATTTTTAAAATGTCAAATACAATATCGTTATAAACAATTGAGTAAAAATCACACCTAAAAATAACGCAGGTCAACGATATGCCGAAATGCGAAATAAAAAATATCAGAAACACTACAACGAAAAGGTGCTGCGCGTGTGTAAAAGCAAAAAAAAAAAAAAGAAATAACACACAGGTGAGAATAAATAAATGTACCAAACACGGTGCAGAATTCGTGATCAAAAAGAATCTACCAAAAACGCACTAAAAAGGTATCCTCCGCGATTCAAAAATTCATGTATTTCGGTTGCACTATATCTGTGTCTCGTGAGGTTCATGACACCGAATCATTCTAACTTCCCCTAAGAAACGATAGGATGTTCTTTTGAAATATTAAATTCTATACTTACCGCTTGGAAGTGGCTGAACAACTACGCATACCGCGAGAAGCATGCTTACTTACCAACACTACAAGAAGCGTGACGTAATAAATAAACCAGACGAATAATGATTTGGCGGTAAATACAAAATAAGGCCGATATCAATGTACATTTGCTATTGTACGCGTTTTGCAACACTACACCCTTCATACCTCATATGAAAATAACTTATCCATCGCACCACTCTATCTATACACACGCTTTTTGTTTTGCGAGTATATGCACCACTTTACATTTACATACGTTCACGTAAAATGACGGCAAGTAACAACACTACAAAAAAATATGTCACCTATCCAATTATAGATTATTTTAGAAAAGTGTAGAGTGATAAAATTCAATTTCCGCGTCGGCCATTAGCTTAAGTAAACTTTATGCAATAAAATTATCAGACGAGAAAAATGAGAGATGAGAAAATGTGGGATCTTCAACACTTGAACGATCAATCGAATATTCTAATTTCTTTACAATTTCATTTCTTTGTAATAATAACACAATAACTTATAACGTATAATGTTCAATATAATTATGGATACCTATTACTATGTACTGGGTCATTGGTTATATTTTGACACTGCGGCGCTAATTTTGAAAGATAAAAAAAAAAGTGTAAACGCAAAAGTTTGAAAATTTTTGCTCTACTATCTTATACAAATGTCAGAAAAAACAAAAGATGATCGCAAGCTGTCAAAATGACAGCGACATTTTTTTAAAATTGGAATTCCCTACATATTAGCTTAAATCGTATATCTTTTTTGTTTGACATTTCATTTAGCTGTTTTTGAGATCGTTCAATTTAAAAATAATGATCATTCGATATTTACATTTAATTATTTAAATTAATTATTGATAATGTTATTGTTTGAATATTATAATTTTATTTGGCGTTTTTCTTCCTCAGTGTTACCCATTTGAACTTACGCTGCAGATCTTTAATTTCGATTAGTTTTCAAAAGCAGAATTAAAACAATTGCAAATATAAACAATATGGCAGCATTGACCGTTTTTAAACAATACGGCTATTGTCCAGAAATCGAATGACGATTATTATTATTATTATTATTATTATGAAATCTCTCAAAAACGGCTAAACTACATATTTTTGAAATCAGAAAAATTTAAGCTAGTAAAAATCGAGCATTCCATTAAAAAAAAAAAAGATGTTGCTGTCGTTTGTTTGTTCTGACATTTGCATAAGATAATAGAGCAAACATATTCCAACTTTTCTATTTCCACTTTTTTTCCATCTATCAACATTAACCCTGCAGGTGGGTGTCAAAATATAATGAATAACCCTGTACCGTTAGTTTCACAAAAAAACTGATACGACCCTTAAAGTACTTTTTCTGAAAGGTTTGAGCAGTGTATATTACAGGTCTCCATGTCGTTGTTGTCACAGAATTGTGGCCAGGTATGCAAGCAGAACAACGATTTTTCCATTAATTAAGGTGAAGGGAAAAGGTGATATGGCAGACAAACAATTAGTTCAGTCCAAGAAGATCAAGGGCCCCCTAGTATAGTCGAGGGAAAAATTGTCGCTCCCAAACAAAATATTAAATTCCTCTCAAAATTTGTTACAATTCTGGCATTTACCTAAACCTAATTATTTTTCAAAATAAATAAATGTTGAGTGTTTAATTTAAACGTTCTTTGATGGTGAAACTTTCGACAAGTAAAATAAAATACTGAACACTCTGAATACTGAATATAGGCAAAATATAGATTTTTTGCTAAATATCATCACGAATTTACCAGAGAGGATGTCTCTAGCTACAATAATTTCATGTTCAAGAGCTTTTAGTAATAAAAATGGATTTAATGGTAAGAGATTGGCTAAAACTGTCGACAAAACAGCTAAACCTGAACCATTCGATATCCATACCGAAAAAACATTCAACTCTTAAACACAAAATGTTTCCCTTCGGATCCCATACTGGGCGTCAAAACAAACTTTCTGACGGTGAAAGTTTTTTTTTTATGAAACTGCATAATTCCCTGTCAGAATAAAATTCTTTAATTTTTATGAGTATCCTACTTTTGGCCTTTGACGCGTCATTTTAGATGTTGGTGATAACTAGATTTTATGTGAAAAACATCTTTTTTATTATTAGGAATATCAACCCAATATACCCGTTTTAGAATGAAATAATTAGATTAACGATATAAAAAAAATGATATATTTCGCATAACATGAAGCTTTAGTGCATATGTTTTGTTGTTGTGCGTAATTTTCTATTTTTCGAAAATTAAATTGTATATTCTTGACCCATTCATTAGTTTTCTACTGGGATTTTCGGCATCTTGAAGAACAACTGATCAAGACAATTTTAATTTACACTTATGTGAAGCGCTGTCAAGTGCATCTATTCCCCTTAATAAGGTACAGAACACTAAATTTAAACAGTTTTTAGAAATATTTTGCAAGAAAAATGTACTTCGTGAGAGTACATTAAGAAAAAATTATTTTCCATTTACAAAAATGTAATTCAAGACATAAGAAATCATATTATAAATCAGCATCTTTACGTTATTATAGACGAGACAACAGATGCTTCTATGTACAATATATGGGAGAAAAAAGCATATATTTGACATATTTTTTGGAAAAACATGTTTATGCGCATATTTCAAGCATTTTCTGTGCATAAAAATCCGAACTCTAGTGACAACAATACCCAAACCCACACTCAATCTCGATATAAACAAAGAATTTTGACATGGCACCATTGTCTACGTAATTGCTCTACACCTCTCTAAAACAGACCACAGTAAAATTCAGGGCTGTCAAGGCTCGGGTGGTGCATATATCGGAAAACCGGAGGAAACAACCTCTGTGCGGACCGGTGCAATACCTTGGTGATTGGCCCTTGAGGGGTGCGGAGTGAAGATGCGGAGGAACCGGATGTGGGACTTGCCGACGACCGCTTGCTTTTGAACGCAGTCATAGTCTGCGAGACTCCGTCGGCCAGTATGAATTGCTCGCGCAGCTCAATGTTAGTGCGGCCCTTTGCTGTGTGTGGGTGAAGGGATCGTATCGGCGCGGGGAGGCAAAAAAAAAACGGGTTCAGGAAGGAATGGAATTTCAAAACAGAAGACGTAGAAGAAACGGTGTGGTGCGGGCGTGTAGGTGGGAGAAAATTGAAAAAAAAACAAACAAAACAAAATAAGCAAAAATACCAACAATCGTATGATGTAATATATATATATATATATATATATATATATATATATATATATATATATATATATATATATATATATATATATATATATATATATATATATATATATATATATATATATATATATATATATATATATATATATATATATATATATATATATATATATATATATATATATATATTGTGCGACGACTCTACTGTTTAGGTACCGCCAGTGCAATGAAAATGTTAATCAGTGCCGAAAGTTAAAACTTCGTAATTTAAATTTTGCTTATACGACCTCAAAATTAATTTTAATTTCAACTGTAATAGAGAAATATATTCTTTTCGGTCAAATTTATATAACACTAAAGTTAACGCATTACAAGACATTAAAAAAGATGTTCTTTAACGCGAGATTAAATTTTTTTTTCTACTCCCGTCTGTAAAATGCATAATTACACACCGATCTAGCGTGCGGGAAGCGTCACTTTACCACGTCAGTTTCGTTTCCCACGGATCCGAGCCACTTCGGATATTTCCGGAACCAATCGGATGTTTTCGGAGATAATGCCCCCGCTTTGAATTTTGACGTTTGTCAGTTCTGACGGTCAGTAGTCAGTGAATGTAGTCGTGTTGTTTTGTGGAAACTAACCAAAAACTAACGGTCGTAGAAAAAGTATAGTATGCAACACGTTCGGTAAACTTTTTAACTCACTCGTTTATTAAACACTCGTTCCGCTAGTGTCAAATAAACCCGTTTACCGCACTTGTTGCAAAATATACTATTGTTCGCCATTTACAACGACAAAGCGCTAATTTTGCTACAATTGCACAGTATTTTGGAATTTTCATTATAACAAAACTAAAAGTACAACTTTTTGGTTGTAACATAACACTCTGTATAATTGCTATTGCCATTATTCGCCTGATTAAATTGTAATTAATTAATCGTCGCTTTCCTTTAATATATGTCCCGTTTTTTGGTGGAATTATAGAAAAACAAGGTCTCAATTTAAGAGCCTCGCTTCCTGGAAAAACATACATTTGGTTGTTCCCGGATAACGAAATTGTTTTTTCCGTTATAACACATAGACGGGATAAACATCGGTTACAGTCAGAGAACTTGAGCCGTTATGTCACGTATAGTGACGTAATCAAAAATGATCCGGACGTTTTAGCCAAAAAAAAATTCCTGTCAATTTGCGACATCAGGTCATTAACTAGGCATTATGGCAACTTTCTAAACGTTCTGATAAAAGGTGATAAAAAATCAAGGAATCCTATAAAATTAAAATTAGGTACGTACTATTTACAAAGTAGTTTATTTAAAGAAATTCGATAGAGGATAGGCTTTTAAGATCGTTAAATCAAGAAAAAGCAGGTCCTAAAATCGTAAAATTGGTTTTGACAAGATATTAACATAAAAACTGTAAAAACCACTAAAGTTCATGCGAACAGTAAGTAAAATTACTGTGGGAAACTTCAATTATAAATGTCACTTTACTTACCGACTAGTCCGCTAGATTTTAATTGTGGTATTTAAATTGTCTAATATATTGCATAACACTTTTCTTTGTATTAGTTTTCGTACATTTTTGCAAAACAACACGAATTCATTCACTGATATGACCGTTAGAATTTGACCTTGACCAATATTTTTGACATACATGGAATAAGTCATAGAAACAGATTGTTCGGTCTCACTAACGTCATCAACTATGTAAGTGCCATTAGCAAAAAATCAAATCAAAGTTTATACGCTAACTGAAGATTGCAAAATAATAATGGCCACATTTTGTATTGCACTGTGGTACCTCTGTGCGTCAATTGCATTGCCAAACCTCTCCGTAAACCCATAAAGACCCAGCAATCTCTCACTCAAAACCAAAAAAAAAGCTTGGCAAAGCAATATCAAACAAAACAACGGAGAAAAAATCAGCCCATCCGTATAAAAACTTGTGTTTTGTTATTCGAAAACCATGCACAACCAAACCGAAAAAAAAAAAACAAAACCAAACCAAAAGCGAAAAGTTAGGCGAACCAAGACCGCCCACATTCTTGGTCAAACTTTAAATCCCAACCATGCAGCTAATAAATGATATAGAGGCAGTAACCATTATAACCAGTGATATTCACTCAAAAATTTTATGGGATTTAAATATATTTTGAGAAACTACGCGGTTTGTGGCTAGTTTTGAAATGTTTTAATATTTTTGATAAAGCCTCTATATATCCGGTAGCTGAATGGACCGTGCGTATCCTTACCAAGGGGACACCAGGGCTCGTGCTGTTCTGGTATGTTTGGATGCGGTAACGGTAGAACTAACGTAACTGCATTAGAACGATGACGAAAAATGACCGGGGATGGGGGACGGGGGGGTGACGTAAGTGCGAAACAAAAATAAATCGAAAAAAAAAAAGCGTGAAAGAACGAATCGCAAAATAAAATTCGAACGGGGTATGATTAGAGACGGGGGAAGAAGACAAAATGTTCTAATTAGTAAATGCCGATTAATAAGCGAAGTGAGCGTTTTGAAAATGGGCAAAATCGACGGAAAGTTGCCCCTTTTTAAAACGAAAATCACCGGCGAATGATTAATCGATGTTACAAAGTTACTCGATCTGGTTTGTTCCTCATGAGACACGCAGCCGTACCAGTAGTACCATATTAATACATGAACCGAGTTAAAAACGATAAGAGAGTTAGAATGACACGTAAGTAGTATCCGAATGCGGGTTAAAAATATTTTTACTGAAGTGTTTTAATATCCCCTGTTGTTACTCTGTAATCGTGTATGTTTCGGTGCCGCTAAATTTTACAGTCCGACAGTCGGCTGACATTTTCGATGACCAATAGTAAAAATAGCGAAAAACTTTTCCGACAGTTCATGGAGCAATGTTAAAGTAGTGAAAAAAAGAAAAAAACCTGATACTATTCTTACGTTCTTCTGCCTTACGGGTGTAAGAAAATGACGACGTGAAAAAGATATCGAGAAAGCTCAAAGGTGTGCAGAAAAATGTAAGCTAACTTCGTTAGGGATATCGAAAATTACATATCACTGCTCCAAGATTGTTTTATAAATCATTGAGATATTTCCAATGTCTTAGTTTTTATTAAAGCGGTTACTTTGCAACAGTTGTCATCCAAAAAAAAAGAAAAAGGTTCACATGAATATTAAAAAAAAACTTTTTTTCGATTTTTTTTTGGTGCACAATAGTTTCAAAAAGTGTTTTTTTTTGTTAAATTTTTCTTAATTATGCACCAGAGATTTAAAAACTACAATTAAAAAAAACACCATTATATGAGGTGGAATTTAGCGGTGGTTATAATTTAGAATAAAAAAGAAAATTTTGATAGCCATCCAGCTGATTCATAGGCGCGTTATGCAATAATATTTGCTAAAAAAAATAAAACAAAAGTAAAAGAACAATCAGCTGATGCAGTAATTTCTTTTTTTTACATAATTTATTTTTATATAATTTATATACAGGGTGCTTGCTAATTGAAAGTCAATAATTAGGGAGCCGACTTTTGAGTCCCTTTTAAAAAGAAAACTTCATATGAACACATGTCCTAAACTTTTTAAATACAGAATGACATATTTTTCAAAAATAAAATATATATTTTTTTAATATCGGTTATACCACTTCAGACATTTTAAGGAATTTTGGCAATATAGTATACCACTTTTTTTTTAAATACACCAGTGCCGAGCGTGCGGAATTTCACCTGTCTAGTTTGACAGATGGTACGCCACTGAAATTTTATTTCTCGATTTTTTTAAATCCGATGTACGGTTTTCGATTCAAAAAATAAAAACCTCTCTTCTACATGGTCATAACACTATCAACAATCATAAGAGATCAAATCTGCTCATAAATGAATGCAAACGTTTTTTTTTTAATGGAAATCAGTGGCGTTGCATTGCTTAAATCGATTTTTTTTTAAATAAAATATCCGTCTAAAACAGAATTTCTAGTGTCCTTCAGAAAAAAAATTAGAAGACTGTTCTTTTTACTTTTACAGTTTTAATACAATAATATAACATAATAACTATAAAAATTTCAAAAACCAGAGTACCTCGGTTGTTTGACCTGTTTTAATGAAACATTTTTATTTTTTGGGCGAAAATTAAATGTCTTTAGAAATAATTGGAGATTGTAAGAATAATTTTCATTTTAAGAGGAATCAGTGGCGTACCGTCAATGTCTGTCAAAATACACAAGTGAAATTCTGTACACCCGTCAATAATTTATTTCTAAAAAAATATGATACACTAAATAAGCCTCTTACGTCAAATTTCAATAAAATATCAAAAGTGGTATTACGAAGACATTAAAAAAACATGTACTTTTGATAACCTAAAAATGGTCCCCTTAATAATTGACATTCAATGAGAAAACACCCTGTAATAATCATCGTAACGTCAGGCTAGCTGACTTTTTTGTTACACCTATATATAAAATGATTAACATTAACAGCTGCCGTTCATTTTCTTACTACCAATATCAAATGAACCATAGTAAAAAATCTCAATTTTCAATCGAAGATGGCCCAAAAATGGCAGCCGTTAGTCGGACCATTAACGTAAATAAAATTTATCAGCACAAAATTATGTAAAATAAATAAATTGTGCGGTGGTCACGTACCTCGGCACGGATCGTTTTTCAACAGGAATTCGTCGAGGGCCACCCAGCCGCCGCCGACGCGTACCATGACGGTACTGCGCAGTATACGTACGAGCCGAAGCTTCTGACTGTCACCGAACTGCCAAAAACCATTCAAATGAAATGCAAACTCATCGAACTTGCACGGCTACGTACCCTGTATTTGCCTTCGCCCACTTGGAACACCCTAAACTTCTGCCGGCACGTGCACAGCATGACGAGACGCTTGACCTCGTCGTGAATTTTCTGCGCATCGTTGTCCGGCGCTTTTTCCTCCCAATCGGGCCTCAACGCGGCTATGAACTTCTTCCAATCTATCAGACCTCTGTTGTTTTCGTCGAACATGTCCGCCACGTGTTTCATTTCCAAACGGGACGTGTCGAATTCTAAAAGAATACCGCAAAATAAAATTTTGCATATAGCGAACACAAACCAGCAGTTTAAGATATTTGATTTCTTGTATAGTCTGTTCATAGATATAACAAAGTGACCAATTGCTTTTGAATGGGATTATCCATGGGTGGTCAATGCAACAAGATTGTTACCTAAAGTTTCAGAATTTAAATTCAGGTAAAATGGTGGTTCGTAATAGAAAATAATTTTATACCGACCTGTGTTTAATATTCTTTGGTTTGGTTACTTAGTTTAAATTTATTAGTAATCATAAAATACACAAGTGATAAATAAAGCGTGTGTTGAATCGTGTGCGAATTATGCAAAATATGTGCGAGTCTAGTGTATCTCAGGAGATGCTCCCGCCCAAATGTAGAAAACACTATTCTATTGAGACCAAGGAATTTATAAACAATGTGTATTTGACTCTCATTGAACGTGGTGCCAGCAAGGAGGCATCTTTAGAAGAAACGGCTACATTGACGAAAATTCCAACATCAACTGTATGGAAAATTGTCAATAATCCCACTTTAGCGAGGAAAAAAAGAAGCGATCCTGACATTTTCTCGAGTGTAGATGAAAGTGATCAAGATATAATACGGCGTAAAGTTTACCAGTTATAAAAGGAAGAACGCGTGCCTACATTAGATATCTTAATTAGGACACGTGGGTTTTAAATTTTAAAAAATTGACAAAAGGCAAGTTTTAATGGAATCTTTTAGAATTCGGAAATGGCGACTGGAATATCTAGAAAAAAAAATAGGATTTACAGAGAACAACAAAGGCCAATTATTTACTTGGATGAAACCTGGTTCGACACTTATGATAACCCGGAAAAGGGTTGAGTTGATTCAACTGATAAGTGTAAAACAAACGCGCCATTAAAAAGAGGTAAAAGGATAACTATTTTGCATGTTGGCTCGTAATAGCGTAATTGTAATGGACAATGCAAGTTATCACAGTGGACAGTTGACTAAAACCCCTTCCTCATGTGACGCAAAAGCAACAATCCAAAACTACATGTATAATAACGACATTTATTTTCACGAAGATTATACCAAGAAGCAATTAACTGAGGTTATACAAAACTTGAACCTACAAAAGGAATAATACGTCTGTGATAATTATGCAAAAAATCTAGGGCATACAGTTTCAACCTTAACACTGTATATTTAATCCCATTGAACATGTTTGGCACCAACTGAAATATGCCATTCGTCGTAACAATGTTTTTCCCCGTGTTATCTCTCATGTCCTCAAACTTATAGAAACCGAAGTTTTTAACATTCCTCTACAAAATTGAACAAATTCTGATAAACATATAGAAAAAGCAAAACAATCGTATATCCATATTGCAAATAATATAGAACAATAATTAGAACCGGCGATGATAGCGATGATATATTATGTGAATAATTCTAAGTAATTTAAGTAGGTAATAAAAATAATTTGTAATTTTATTTTAGATTTAAACATAAATACATACATAAATAAATAAATATTGTTTAGTGTCTTTTCTAACAAAACCTCGAAAAATTAAATTCTAAGCAAAGTACGGACCTGTTCGGTTATATTTCATTCTTACAGCTTGCCCGGGTCTTTCCTTAATTCGTTTGAGTTAGTCACTGTCTTATATCTACGAACAGACTTTACCCTTGTATATAGCACGGTAAAATCTGACAGGCACGATGTCAAAATTTTGACATAAAAATAAAATGTCAAAATGACAGCATGACGTCAGTTTAAGTTATGATACCTCTTTGATTTGATTCGTCAGCTTTTGCAAGACACTCAAACGAATGATTGCAACTTTATTATATCTTTTCTATTACCTGACTTATAGTAAAAAAATAAACAGTTTCGTCATTTACATAAAGTCTGTCGATAAACTTGTTCCTAACATAATTCAAAGTTGCAAAACATTTCCAACGCTGTGTTTCAGATGTTCAAGTAAGTTTGGTTTTGTATGGGGCCTCATCTTCCAATCCACCTATTAGAAAAAGTAGCATTTAACCGTTCCCTATTTAATTGGTGAAAATATTTACGGGAGGCCACGATTTATGAATTGATACGCAAAAACTGAACCCGCTGAATGTTGTTTCATAGAGAATTTTTTTTTTTAAAGAAAAAGCATGCTTTTTTGGACTGACGAGGTTATAGGAGATAGGTTGTTCTTGGCAAGGTAGTTAAAAAAAAAGTGAAAATTACTGCCAAAAAGGTAAACAGGTCCACAATGATTTTGATATTTGAAAGCTGTTTGCTAATTTGTATATTTTTGGGGGCTCTTTTTCTAAACGTTAATTGTTTATAGCGCTCTATATCTTAAAAATGTCATTTATGAATTGATTTTTATAAAATTAAATGTGGTTTAGCAACACTGGATAACATTAGATTTCTCTGCAAAGCAATACAATACAGCGTTGTAACCTGCTTATGCGCAGTTTGGTTGTATTGGTCGTGTGAAAGAAAACATAATTTTTGTTATATCTGCGGTAGTTCGTCGTAACTTCTTTTGCGAAAAATTTATGCCACGCTTAATTTGGTGCAAAAATTGGCGACCAAGACAAGTTTGCGTTGAAGCATTAAGAAACTGACAAAAAGGTAGAAAGAAATGTTTCATATCAAACTTGGGGTTGATGAAGCACTTTGTTAAAGCCCTAGACAAAAGTATTTCAAATATTTGTGCGAGATATCTGATGCCAAGATAAAAGAAGGTTTTGTTGTCGGACCGCAGATAAGAACATTATGCAAAGACAATATCGAAAAAAACGCCTTGGTTTCTTTATCTTACAACATTTTCATCGTATGGATTGTAATATGAGTTTGAATGTGCATTTCTTGATTCTTGATGACGGACTGGATGTTAAAACGGAATATGCCCATAAAAACACACAGCCCGATGTTTCTGGTAAAAAAACGAAGATTTTACTAAAAAAAACTGAGCAAAGTTTTTTTTCACATTTTTTAACAAGAATTCCACTTATTTACTGAATAAAAAATAAGTTATTTTCGAAATATATTTGTTTTTGAATTAATATTTGCAAAAAAACTTCAGTCTATTAAAATTATGTAATATCAGTTTCAAAATAAAAACATCTGTAGAAAAGTTTAATTTTGGCCTTTCTGAATGCCTTTTTCATACCATCTTAGACGACGGTGTAATAGATATATGCTTAAAGGAATTTCTCCCCAACTCTTCCAGTTGCAAATTTTATTAAGATCATACCGAAAAATTTTTCATAAATTTTTGTCGTCTTCCAAAGTAGCCCAAGTAGGTATTTATATTTTAAATGCTTGTACAATCAGTGCTCCATAAATAGAGCCAGCAGACGTGGCAGACGATTTTGTGCATTACAAACACCAAGTAGCACACCCAAAAAAAAAGCTTACTGGTTCTAATGATTCCGTCGATGAAATCTTCTCTCGGTATTAGCTCGTTGTTGTCCTTGTCCATCTTTCTAAACAGGTCCGTCAGCCTGGACTTCTTATAGTTCATGAATTTGAGGAACCGTTTCCTCCAGTCGTCCCAAGAGAAGTTGTCCGCCTTCTCCTTCTCCTTCAGATACGCCAAATGATCGTAAAGCTCCCTCTGCCGTTCCCACGACAGGACCCACACGTGCCTCCACTTGTCGTACAAGAACTTAACCCTCGGAGCGCTGAACTCTGGCTCGCTATTTCAATTAAGAACGACGGTTGAAAATGGACGAGTGCGAATTACTATACTATTACAAATTTAAAAGTTGTCTAAATGAGGTGACATCTTTGGAGAAAAGAACCAAAACCGAACGGAAAGATGACAAACCGAATAATTTGATAAAAAAAAAACGTTAATTGTGTGAAAAATATGAGGTTAGGTCCGTAAAAATGAAAAAGTGGAAATGTACCTTCCGGATGGCGGGAATCTTGGCCCGACATGAGGCAATTGCAGGTCCGGACTAAGTTCACGGCCTGGACTCGAGCGGCTGTCGAATAAAAGCAACATGCAACACTCCAAAACACTTTGTTTCTATAACTACTACAACTAAATCGTAGCGGTGGAAAAACCTTTTAGTAGAGTTAAGATTTAAAAAACATTCAGAAAATGAATAGCAAAGTAGAAAATCTAAAAAAAAATGGACGCAAACACGCTTCAATGTAAAAGTCAGATCTTATTAAATTACATAAAACATATGACATTTTTACAAAAAAAAATGTCAGTGTACACCTAAAAGGTTACCCCTGGCCACTATAGAGACCGTTCAATACAAATAGAGTTAGTAAAAAAAAAACACTGTTGACACACAATTTTAGTTACACGGAACGGAATCGTGTTAACACAAAAAAAAAATAAAAAAAAATAAAGTAAATAGACATTTTAGACATTCGAAATCTAACTGAAATTTTTGTTTTGGCATTTTTTAAGATTCCAAATACTTTCGAATAAGATATCAAGTAAAAAACAAAATTTATTCGTCTATTTAAATAGTTGCAATTTTTCACACTCAATCTCGATGCATATTATAAGTTTTGTTACCAGGTTTATGGAAGTCATTCTCAATAGCAATTTAATCTGAGTTGATCACGTTGAGACAGTTTGTAAGAAACTAAACAGCGGCTAATATGCTTCTTTAAATGTCTTCTGTTAAATATATTACCTCCAGAGTTGCGCGAGACTACCAACCTTTCCGCTTTTAAAAGAAAATTGAAAGCGATTCTGATAACAGAGCCATTTTATAACCTAAATGCATTTAAAGAGTTGCTTTCGGAGAAGCAGAGCGTTCGAGTATTTCGGACACAGTTAACGTACGCTTTAAATTATGTATCTGTTTGTTGTTTGTTATATTTATTTTCTCTTTGCTTGACTTGTCCGACACAAGTATTTCTCATTGATATGGATCAATAAAACATGACATCATAATGGTATGTAGAGTTAAAAAATGGCAAAAATTCGTACAGTAGACATTCAAAAACAAATTAAAATTGGACACAAAGTTATATAAAACGAACCTGCTGAGACGTTTACAAAAACGAAAATTATTTTCCAGTAGTGAATATATATCTAAAAAGTCAAATAAAAGGCCACTGGCCACTATAGAAAGCTTCCAATACAAATAAAGTGAGTAAAAAAAAACTGTTGACAAAATTTTGTGTTAACACAAAATAAAATAAGCATTTTTTAAAATTCTAAATACTTTGGAGTAAGTAAAAAACAGAATTTGTTCATCTGTTTAAATAGTCGTAATTTTTCGCACTCAATCTCGATGCATGTTCTTAAAATTAAAAACGAACAAAATATAAGTACGTGGTAAGTAAAGTGGGGATAGACTTGCGACATTCTAAGGTTGCGATAAACACGACAAAGCAAAACGAAACGAATTGAAAACAAAGTGAAAGTGAGAAGCGAAGAAGAACGTACCTTGGCCTGCGACCTAGTGCACCGTGATCGGCCGATGGCTCGTGAACGTCGTGCTGTGATCCCCGGCTAGTGAGAGAAAGCAACAGAACAGAGATGAAAGACATGCGCGACACAAAAACACAAGGAAAAGCGCAGATAACGAGTGCGGACGGAAAGTGTCAATGTGTAGGGTACGTAGAAAGAAACAAACGACAAATAAACTTACATGGGCCCCTTGCCTTTGCCGAACTTTTTCACGTCCTTCGGGATTTGCGCGGGTTTCACTTGCCGAGCCTTGCACACCCTGTCCACCTCCGATTGCCGCTTCTGGGTATTCTCCATAAACTCCTTATGGTCGGCGATGAGTTGCTCGGTAGCGGGAATGTCCATCGGTAATTCTTCCCTCTTCAACGCGATAAGGGTGTTTTCTAAACCCAACAGCCATTGGATCAGCTCCTCCAGCGACTCGTCCAGGTCGCGCAACGATTGCATATGACCGGAGAGTTTCTGGTGGCGTTGCAACGCCCATTGGGACACCTCCTCCCACCTGGATTGAATCACCTTTATCCAATTTTTGATGACGGTGATGGAGTCGGGATGCGCTTTGCCCAGAATGCTGTGGGCGAGCTCCAACGTCTGATCTTTTTCGATTTCCTTCTCGTTGAGTTGAGCGCGGAACTCGTCCAACGCTTTGAGCTGCTCGTAGGCGGCCGCTTCGTCTTGGGGAGCGTTGCCCACGAAACGCAACTTCATTTCCGCGTCGGACAGCCAGTCGAGTATCATGTTGACCGACTTGTGAAGCTTCTCGGCTTCCTTGAGCGCGTCCCGCAATCTGTCGGTCTTGAGATGGGTGAGCCCGGTGACCGTCTCCCAAAGCTGGGTGAGGTCGGTGAGCTGCCGTCTGATTTGAGCCGCGTCGGATTTGCTCGCCGTCCTTTCGAGCTCTTGCCCGTTGCGGATGACCGATTCCATTTGATCGTTTCTTTTCTCCAGTTCCTTCTCGAACTGTCGATGAAGGTCCACCAAGTGATTGACCGTATCCAAATCGCCGTGGACGGGGACGTCTTGCGACAACTCCTTTTCCGCCTTCCTGAGCCAATCCATGAGGGCGACGACGGCGTCTTTGAACTGACCGGAATACAACAGGGCCTCTTCGAGCTTCCTCTGTCTTTCGACGCTCTTGTTGCACACCGAAGTCCATTTGTTTTTCAAATCCGTCAGCATTTGCTTGATGGCGTGCTCGTCGGTTTTGGGCGCTTTGTCCTTCAATTGCTTGCCGTTCTTCATGACGTTATCGTAAGTGGCCTGTTTGGCGGACAACGCCCGTTGAAACTCTTGATGTTTGTTCAAGCGCGCCTTGATCTGTTCCGGATTGTTGCCGACCGAGTCGGCGCGTAGTTCGTCGAGAGAATGTTCGGTTTCGTCCAGCCAATTCATCAAACCGGACCAAGAGTCGTGGAACTCTTTCGCTTCCTTGTAGCCGAGGTCCAAAGCCCTCGTTCTCTCCGCAGATTTCGACGCGACCCGTTCCCATCTGTGCTGAACGCTGATGAGAAGATTCTTGATCAGTATGACGTCCTGTTTCTGGCTGAAGTACTTCAGATGGGTGCCCTTTTTATCCAGGGCGAGCATAATTTCGCGATGGGCGCCCACGTCTTTCTGGAAAATCTTGTGTTCCTCGATTTGGCCCTGGACCGTTTCCAAAACCCTCGACACCGGCTTGAGGTTGGACAAAATCTTCTCGGCGTTGGTCAGCCAATCGACGAACGCTTGCAGCGACTCGTGGAACTCGGTGGCTTCTTTGAGCGCGATTTCAAGTTTGATTTTCTTGTCGTTGGCCCTAGCGGTGACCGAGTCCCAGCGCTGCTTCAGCGTGCGCAGGTTATGCTGCAAATTCGACGCGGTATTGGCGCCCTTTTTCAAGTACTCTTGCCCCTGGCTCAGCACCGTTTCGACTTTGGGCCGGTTCTCCTCGATTTCGTTGTAAATTTCCATGAATCGCTCCAATTGTTCGGAAGCGGTCTCGGGTAAACCTCCGACGGGTTTAGACGCCGCGATAATACCGTCCACTTCGCTCAACCAAGACAACAGGTCTTGGATTTCCGCGTTGAAACGTTGAGCGTCGGCTAGGGCGTCTTCTAGTTCCCGTTGACGATCGGCCGCCTTCTGCATCAGGGAACGCCAGTGGGTGTTGAGGGTGTTGAGTTTGTCCTGGGTGGCTGACGATTCGTCTGATATGCGAATTTTTGGGGATTAATTTTTTACACCCATTTTTTTTTTGAAATATTGCGTAGCGGAACATAACAAAAATGACCACATGAATAACGTCTACAAGTTGCTATACAATTTCTTAGATTATTACCTCAGAACCGGAAAAATATTTAAAAAACTTCTAGAAAAAACGTTGGGTGGGTCTCGCTTACACTTTTCAAGTAATATAGTGAAAACTCCCTATAGCGAAACTCTGTATTACGAACAAAATTTGTTGTACAATTAGTTTTCCATACAAAGCTATGTATTAATCCACTTTGTATAACGAATTCTCTATAGCGAAAGAAACAAGGACACATCAGTTACCCAAATAAGGAATTCTTTACCCTCATAAACTAATTACTGGTCGTCCTAAGTGGTTTTCTTGTAATAAGCGATTACCTTAACGCCTTTATCTCTAGATGATAGTTTCTTTATTTCGGGAGATAGAACGGGGAGAAAACAAAACACCGTCGATTGTATCCACGATTTGGAAGTGCAAAAGGAAAAATCATTCAGGCTGAAGCGGCAGGCAGTTCTAGTAAAAAACTAAGAAAGCCAAAATTTGAAGATTTAAATCGGGCAATGTTGCAGTGGTTCCAACAGTAAGGTCTTAAAAATGTACCTCTGGACCTATTGTAAAACTAAAAGCAGAAAAGTTCGCTGAACAGCTTGGCATTATCGATTTCAAGCCTTCGGAAGGATGGATGAGAAAGTTCAAACTTACTGTAAAATAATTCAAAAAATCGCTTCATTTATAACGTTATAAATAATAATTATAATTATTTATTTAACAGTATTTAATAAAAAAAAACGTAAGCGATTAGTAACTATTTCTCTATAGATTAAAAAATTTATTATTGATATTTATAAAATTTTCGAAAGCTCTGGCTTTAGACTAACTCCATAGAATTATCCAAAAAATAACACTTTCAATAAATTAATTATGTCCATTTTACCCCTGGTATTACGCAATGGGATAAAAATTTACAAATAATCAGAATTTACAATTATAATAAGGAAAACAAAAATTTGGTCTTTTTTTTTTGTATATAATCAATAATATTTTAGGGGTATAAGTAAATCCAAGCAACTTTCGTCTATAGTTTTTACGGGTTCTAAGGAAAGGTGCCAATCAAAATTGGAAAATTTTAAAGTCACCTTCGCCGCTTTCGATGATCTGCCTTCCGGCGTCGTTCAGAGTATCCACGCTGGTCTGATGAGCCTGTATATCGTTGATGACGACCTTTAGCTTTGCCAGTTCGACTTCCAAAATTTGGGCGTCTCCCGCTACGGGTTTGAGCTCGTCCAGAGTCTTGTCCGTTTTCGAAATCCAAACCAGTAATTCGTTTAGGGCGTGCTGGAACTGACCCAGACGAAGCAACGCGTTCTCGAGCTGCCTCTGCCTCTCCACCATGCCCCTCAGCAAATCGTCCCAGCGTTTGTTCACCGCCAATAGCGGTTCTTTGATGGAGGCGGCCTGATCGGCCGACGTCCGTTCAGTTAACTCGTGAGCTTGCCTAAGGATTGTTGAAGGAAACTTAAAATCGATCGTAGTCGAATATTTCCGCGAAATAAACACAAAGCTACTCGTGCACTTTGAGCGTTTGGACGTCTGTGTTACATGCGCATCGAAATTTGCAGGACAAGTTGCAGCGATCATGCTCCATACAATTGTTTAGCAAATGAAATACACTCGAAGCGACACACGCAAGCGAATTTCGATGAAATCCCGGCCAAAAATCAGAAATGCCAACTTAGGAATTTCAGGCACTTATATAAGTTTTATATAATACGACCAAAAATATAGTGTATTCATTTGAAACGTAAATGGACCGTTTTAAATTTGATTAAGCATTGACGCTGCGGAGTATTTTCGAATAAGCAGTAGCGTTTCGTCAGGTGATACGTATCGTCCTTAAGAGTTCAATCTAAATTACAATAAGTTGGTATATATTACGGAGGTATTTGAATGTCCCACTCCACATGGCCTTTATAGACTACCAGAAGGCGTTTGATTCAATCGAAATCTGGGCAGTGATGAATGCAATGAACAATGCCCGCGTAAACTGGAGATATACTCGTTTACTTCAATACATCTACGAGACTGCCACCCTACATGTAAGAATCAATGAAGACTGGATCACCGGAAAGATTCCAGTGAGAAGAGGCGTTAGGCAAGGTGACACAATCTCACCTAAGTTAGTTACCTTAGCTATGTAAGATATATTCAAACGAAGAGAATGGTATCGATATAGACGGAAAACACCTCAACTACTTACGATTGGCTGACGACATCGTTCTCTTCAGTAGCAATACAAATGAGTTGACAACAATGATTCAAGAACTGAAAGATGCTGTAGGCTTCAAAATTAACCTCCAAAAAACTAAACTTCTGAGCCCTGACAATATAAAGGTCTCCATTGAAAATCACTAGCTAGAAAATGTCAAGGGATATATATATATATATATATATATATATATATATATATATATATATATATATATATATATATATATATATATATATATATATATATATATATATCAATCTCACCTGGATAGCATTCGGGAAACTTAGCTATATCTTCCGCAACCCGACTATGCCAATGAATTTGAAAAAGAAGGTCTACAATATGTGTATCCTCCCAGTAGAAACATACAGACTCGAGACTGTGACACTTACAGTGGGCAGTGCAAATCGACTCCGAGTCTGTCAAAGAGCAATAGAGAGAGCAATGCTGGGTGTAAGCCTAAGAGAGAGGGTCAGAAACGAAGAGATAAGGAGAAGAACAGGGATCTGTGACGTTGTGGAGCGGATAGTGAGTCTCAGGTGGCGCTAGGCAGGACACGTTGCTAGAAACAATCTGAAATGGACCAAAACATTAATGCAGTGGCGTCCAAGGAGAACGAAAAGAAATGTGGGGCGTCCTCAAGCGAGATGAATAGATGACATTCAACGACATGCTGGGAAAAACTGGATGCAAACCGTACAGCAAATGTGGCATGGAAATCACTGGAAGAGGCCTATGTCCAGGAGTGATGTCTAGAGGCTGAAGAAGAAGAAGATTTGAATGTGATCCTTTCAGTACGTACGTATTTATGTACCTAATTCTCGAGCTTTGACCTTGCGAGGCTGTTTTCACTGGATAGTTCAAAGTGTAAGAGTGGGTACATGTACTCTATTCATCAGACAGATAAGTTTGATCCTGTGATCCTTCCAGCAAGTACGTATTTACATTCTTGTAAATAATCATTTTTGTCTTATGTGCCTGTCGATAAACAACATTTTTCTTCTTATTTTTTTGTGCCTTCTACATAGTTCTTCGATTTGTAAACAACACAGTCATTAGATAGCACATAACGGACATGAAATTTTGAGATTATCCCCGCATCATTGTATATTTAAAACGATGGAGATGATTTGATTTGAATTGAAACCGCATATACGAACAAAAAACATAAACGTAATTTGCGTAAACGTAATCGTGGGGTCGGTTGTAAAAGCACTATATTTCTGGTCGAAGCATACCTTTACCAGTTACTAGTGATTCCGAATATTGTTAGAAATATGTGGGGGGTCCATTTGTTGTAAATGATGTGTTTTTCGATAATTCTTTCTGACTTAGTTTGTTATAAAATACTGGAGTATTTCGCTAGTAATAATTAAATTTTCGAATAACCCTATGTACAGTAGAAACAAGCAATAGAGTTTCAGAATTAAAAAAAAATGGTTGTCGTGTTTTCTTTATTCAATAATAGTTCTGCCGCTTTTTTTTCAACATTTTGTGGTACTTATGAACTAGTCGATAGATCCAAATCTGAATTTGGCGGTACAATTGAAGCCCTTTTTTTAAATCGGATATTTCTGCACGAGTAATTATGAAGACCTGATTCTAGAAATTAAGTTATATGCCAGTTCACAAAATTCCCTTTCATAGCCCTGAAATCCTATCATATTTCATTATTACGACTGGTTGAGTCAACAAGTGCCTAGAATCAAGAAATAATGAGGACATTTTTTTTTAATAATAATATTACGAAAGAGTATTCAAACACTATTCAATAGAAGTGTGATCTTCTCTCGAATAACCGCATATAAAAAACAAAAGTGAAAATGACAGTGACGCTTAGATAATTGGTACTAGGTTCGGATGTCATTAGATATATTAGTAAGATTTCTTTATCTTGGCGCTGGATTTTTGCCTGAGATTTCGTCCACATTCGCCTACGCTTGACACAAGCCGAAAATATTTACGTTACATAAACGATTTCAAAGCGGGTTCGATAAAACAGCAGCAACGAAAATTATGCTTGCCTTAAGAGACTCCTGAGGTCCATCGGAAAAAAAAAACAAAAAATAATAATTAGATCGTTATTTCAGTAAAAGTGGAAACATTAGAAGCGATAGATTACTAACCTATTCAGGGCCTCTACTTTAACCATGTGAGGGTCGACTTCGGCCTTGAACGTTTTGAGTTGATCGATCTGCTTCTTGACGGTAGCAATGTCGGCCCCCAGAGGACCCATTTTCTCGAACTTCCTCTCCGCCTTGTCCAGAAAGTCGAGCAAATTCTGCAACGACAGCGTAACGATTTCCACCCCCAGCGCAAGAATACCGAACGCGAACCTACCTGCAAAGTTTCGTGGAACTCCATTGCTTTCTCCATGGCATCGATAAGGTTCTCTTCCCGTTTCGCGTAAAGCGCTGTAATATTATCCCACGCGTTGTCCAGATCTTCGATGTGTTTCTTCACTTCCGGTTTGTCCGGTTCGCCGCACAACCGCATCAATTTCTGCCCTGAAGACCTCACTTGGTCGACTTCGGGTTTGGTCTGGTCGATTTCTTGACGGATCTCTTGTAACGCCACCTGTTGTTCCTGTATGGCTTTGGGTTCGACCGCGGGCGGTTCTTGACTGACCAGAGAGTCCTCGAGTTCCTTGAGAGTGGCCATGACGGCGTGCAATTCCTTCCAGAATTTCTGGGCCGCGTCCAGAGCGTTATCCAGCGACGTGCCTCGATTTTTGGTCGCCTTTTGCACCTCGTCCCACAGATTCTTCAGCTTGTCGAGTTTACGTTTGATGTCTTTCACGGCGGGGTCGGCCCTATTGCCCGCTTTGTGGATGACGTCGTCGGCCGCCCTTTGCACCGCCGCGTACGCCTCCTTACGTTTATTCAAATCGCCGATCAGGCCCTCGTTGTCTTCGATCTGATCGCGGATTTTGGGCACGTGCGCGGATATCGGCTCCAAGTTGTTCACTTGATCCGCCGTGTTGGACAAAGCCCGCAACATGCCCTCCAACTTGTCCGAGAACTGGGAGCTCTCCTGCATAGCCTGTTCGAGCGCCTGCTGACGTTCCCTGAGCTCGAGCTTCAGAGCGGCGTATCGCGCGTTGTCGCCGTCGAGCAGTTCTTGCACCTTGGCTCCGTCGTCTTCGTTGCACAGACGGATCAGCGCCTCGCCGGTCTTGTTCAGCTTGTCGATCAGCGGTTTGTGTTCGTTAATGGACTGCAGGAACATCTCGTTGCGATCTTGCTGCTGAGCGATGGCGTCCGGTCTGAGGGCGGGCATCGAAAGCATCGACACCTGCTCCTCCATATCCGCCAACCAATTGGCCAAACCGACGTGGGTATCGTTGAAATGCTCGGCCAGAGGTAGGGCCTGTTCCAGGACGCCCAACCTGTCGGCGCCGAGTGCCGACACAACGTCCATGACGTCGCGCAGGTCTTCCATCTTCTCGCGGATCAACGTGGTGTCGTCGCTGGGCGGGCTCTCCCGCAAAACTTTCTTCGCCGTCGATAAAACGTCGCGTACCCGACCCTTCTGACTCGAGATGTCGTCGTTCAGGGCTCTGTGTTCTTTCAATTGAACTCGAATCAAGTCAGGTTCCGCGGAGGGCTTCTCCGCGTCCCTGATCTGACCTTCGGCCTCGCGGAACCACTCCAACAGCTCGTCGATATCTCCCGTCACTTCCAACGCTCTCTGCTTGCCCAAGTGGATCCGCTCGGCGCGTCGCTGGATTTGCTCGGCGATAGCGTCGAATCTTCTATTGTCGCGAGCCACGAGACCTTCGATCGTGGAAGCTCCCTCACCCGGACTAGCCTGACACAATTGCGGTCCCAAAATGTTAACCGACTCGAGCACCGCCCTCATTTCTTGCAAATCGATTTCCAAGCGCGCGATGTCCGCCTCGTTGGGTTCGGCGGATTGCAGAATACCTTCGGCGCCTTGCATCCATTCCACCAAATGGTTATGGTTCTTGTGGAACTTTTGCACCAGCGGCAATATGGTTTCGGCGTTCTTGAGAAGCTCCGCCCCCCGCGACGTCAGCTCGTTGTAGCGGCGCTGCAGCGAATCCAGTTTGTCTTTCAATTGGAGCGCTTCGTCCGACGAAATATGCCGCATCAGTTCGACGCCCGCGTCGACGGTGCCGTCGACGTCCGCTTGCCGACCGGCGATATCTTCAGTCAGCGACGTCAAGTCGTCCATTTGTTCGAGCAAACGGTCGGTGTGGACCGCGAGCACCTTGTAACGCCCCAATCTTTGCTCCATCGAGTCCATCCAAGCGGCGAGATCTTGGTAGGTCAACACGAGATGCCTCAAACCTTGCCTGCACGCGGTCAACAGCTGACCCACTTGCTCGCTGGCTTCTACCAGATTGCCGTAACGGTCGGTGACCTCTTGGAGCTTATCGGCCAAGCCTGACGCCTCGTCCTCGCCCACTAGCGACATCAGTTTCGACGCTATGTCAGTTAATTCCCTAAAATCGGGTTTCTTGCCCAAGATGTCGTTGTGCAGGACGTCGTGTTCACGTATCCTCTGCTGGATTTTCTCCTCCTCCGTCGGAACGAGTTCCATATCCCTAACTTTCTTCTCGGTCCTTTCCAGCCAATCTTGCAGGGGTACGAGCTTGTCTTGGAACTCCTTGGCCACTTTCATCGCATGTTCAAGGTCGAGGGTGCGCCGTTGCGCGCCTTGCGTCAAAGCGTCGAAACGCGCCACGAGACTTTTCAGTTGCTTCTCGATGGGTTTGCGTTCGGCCGGGTCCGCCTCCTTCGCGATCTCGTTGCCCATCGCGTACAAAGACGACATCGAACCCTGGCGGTCCAACAACATCTTCTTCAGGAACTTCTGCTCCTGCAGCTGCGCTTTGACCACCTTGTAGTCAGCGGACGGCGGCTTCTGATTGGCCACCAGCTCTTCGGTGTCGGACAACCACTTGGCGAGACCGTCCAGGGCTTCCTGGAATTTGCCGGACTGCAGCAGTCCGATGTCGAGTTTCCTCTCGCGGTCGTTGATCCTCTCCTTCAACGTATTCCACTGGTCGTTCATTTTTTCTAAATCCTTTTCCAGATTTTGAGTGTTCACGCCGGACGCGGCGGACTGGATCAGTCCCTGACCGAATTTGTTGCACCGATCGACGTTCTTGTTGAGAGGTTCGATCGTATTCCCTCGGAATTTTTTAAAGTCGGCCTGCTGGGCCCTTATGGTGTCCACCTCCGAGCCGACGGGTTTAAGACCGCGCACTTTCTCGCCGGCGTCTTTGATATCGTCCAGGACGCCGGCGTGGGACATATAGAAGTCCTCCAACTTCTTGAGCGTCGCTTCCAGGTCTTTTTCCCTGGCGCGAGCGCGATCGTCCAATTTGCCGAGTTGCTTCTTCAACGCGTCGACTTGTTGACGAGTCTGCGCCGTGTCCGGAGCGAATCCGCTATCGACCAAACGCTCGCCGGATTGTATGGCGTCGTTGACGTCGGCAGTGGCCTTGTTGATTTTGTTGATGAGTTTGTTGACGTCGTCGATTTGAAGGTTGACAGTTTTGACGTCTCTGCCGGGGGGTTTCATGTTGTCCAGCTCGGACTCGAGCGCGGAAAGGTCGTGAGTAAGTACTTTGACCTTTTCGTTGAACTGAGTCACGGCGGTGGCGGCGGATTGCAGTTCCGAACACCGGTCGTCCAGTTTACCCTGCAGATCGTCGATACGATCTCCGATACTTTCGACTTCGTCTTTGAGATGGTCAGCGTCGATGCCGTTCTCCGACGCTTCGTGGCACAAATCGGCGGCCCGGTTGCGCAGAGTCTGGAACGGTTCGCGCAACCTCGCCGTCTCGTCTTTCAGCGATTTTATACTGTCCAAAAGTTTGGGATCCCGCGAGGCGCCGCCCAAGGCGTCGTGGGACGCCAACTTATCCTCGCAGCGTTCCAGGCCGTGATTCAGATCTCTCAGGTTCTCGTTGAAGTCGCCCAGTTTCCTGGACTGATCTTCCAACGCTTGCGTTCTCAAAATTAGATCGTTATTGAGTTTATCCCAGCGTTCTTTCAGTTCCTGCAGCTCGTTTTTCACCACATCCTTGTCGATGTCGCAGGCGGAGACGAAGTTCTCGCCCAGGGCCCTCGCGTTTTCATACTCGCCCGATTTTTTCCACACCTCGTTTCTGAAGTTTTGCAACTCCTTGAGTTGGGCGGCGATGTGCTTCCTTCGGAACGACACGGGTTTCAACGAGTCGAGTTTATCCTCCGCTTGCCTCAGCCACGGCAGGAAAGTTTCTAAAGCCTGGTAATACTTGCGGCAATGTTCCTTACACGTCTGCAGTCTGGTGTGTCTGTCGACGACCTCCTTGCGCAATTTGTCCCACGTCTGCTGGATTTTGTCGATGTCCCTTTGAAGGGACCGAGTGTCCGCTTTGGTACTGCGCCCGATTATGTCTCTGCCCTTGTTCAGCAGCATAATCACCTCGTGCTCTCTGGCCAAGACATCCCTGTAAACGGGTTCGTGCTGCCCCAGCTGTTGCTCGAGAACGTCCCTTATGGCGGATATGAGAAGCTTTTCCGTTAAAGAGCCGAGCTCGTCCGACAGCCAGCCCAGAGTTTTGGAGCAGGATTCCTCGAATTGTCTTCCGTCCCTCAGGGAGCCCTCGATCTCCGCTTTCTTCAAGTCCAGTTTCTTTTGAAGCGCGTTGTATTGTCGTCCCACGGACGCCAATTTACTTTGGATGTCCGCCCTGGACGCGGGGTCGCTCAACACTTCACACAACTGCGCACCGTTCGCTTCCAGATCGGCCAACAGAGGTCTCTGCCCTTCGAGTTGTCTTTCGAGGTTTTCGACTTTTCTCAATTGTTCTTCCGGATCCTTTTCGAAGGAAACCTCCTCCAAATTATCCGATATACCCTGCAGCGCGTCCCGGAGCCGGGTCAGTTGAGCGTCAAACTCCCTACTGGTATCCGCGGCCGCACCGAGAGAGTCCGCACGTTCTTCGAGCTTGCCGAGCAGATCGGCCCATTTTTGTTGGACGGCGGTGAGTTTGTTATTGATTTTCTGATGATCGGACGACCCGGGTTCGAGGTAAGATAACACATTATCGCCGACGTTGATAAAATGCTGAAGTTGCGGCTGTTGCGAACGGAACTCCTCGCGCAACACCTGAACCTGCTGTACTTGGGACTGCACCATTCGGCTGTCGCTGGATATCGGTCCGAGCACCGTTAGCATCCTTTCCTTGGCTCCGAGCCATGAAGACAACGAGTCGTGGGTGTCGTGGAATTCCTTCATGTCCTCCATGAATTTAATACGATTCTTCAGGTGGTCGCTGAGATTTTTCCAGTGGGATACGACGTCTTCCAGTTCATCGTTTAGATTATCGGCACCGATTGCTCCGAGTTTTCGCTTCAGCAGATCCTTCACTTGGCTTTTCGTGGAATCGAGCAGCGACTGCTTCTCGTACATTTCCTCCAGCACCGATTTGATCTGCCTATTGAGTTTGTCCGCTTCGTCTTTCGAGTTCGGGACGCTGTCTTTCGGCAGCTGACGTTGAATTTTGTCTAAGAACGCGCTCAACGTTCTCAAATTGTCCAAATACTTTTTGAGTTCTTCTCTGACCGAGTCGATTTCGTTCTGCCTGTCGTTTATCTTCACGCCCAGCATAGAGTATCGATTATTGATCTCGGATAACTGCTGCTGCACCGGAGACAGATCTTCCAGATGGAAGCCGTCTTGGCTAGACCTGCGCGACGAAAATCCGCTGGAGGCTCCGGGGGATAGAGGACCGAGTCCCTTAGTGGGTGACGGCGAACGGCCATCTTGGGACGGCCGCCTTCCGGATATTCGTTTGTTCGGGCCGTAACCTTTGCGCCTAGACGGAGAATCGGGTCTATCGCCGCGCGTTAAATTGTCGTAGGCCGTTCCGACGTCGTTAACCTTATCCACCGTGGAGGAATAATCTTTGTACTCCTTGGCGATCGGTTTAAGCTCGTCGTTTTGCTTCTTGAGCGTGTCGAGGTGTATGGCAACGGTATCCAAACGTGTTATCTTCGTTTCCATCCTGCTCAGCCAATCCAACACTTGCTCCTTCAGCGTCTCGTAAGCGTTCTGCTGCTCGTGCCTCAACTTGGACAGTTTGGTCTTCTCGTCCATTAGGTTCTCCAGATCTTTCCACTGGGTCTCCATCGACTTCACCTTTTCTCTGACGTTGCTCGTGTCGGTGACGTCGCGTTTGTTCAACAACTCCTTCCCGATCCCCACCACTTCTTCGAACAACGCTCGGTTGTCGTCCCGGTTTCGCGCGATCTCTTTCATCTGAGCCTTGTACTGCTCGTTCGGCATTTTGGCCAGATCCCGCGACTCGATTATCTCCATGATTTCGCGGTACCACTTGTCGAACTTGGCCGCTTGGTTGTTAAACGCTACCAAATCCCTGTTGATCTCGCCCAGGAACACGCCCCGATTTTGAACACGGTCGAACAGTTTTTCGAATCGGGTCTTGACGTCATTCAATTTACCCTCGATCTTTTTGGCCACCCTAGCGTTGCTAGTGGAGACGATCAGCTCGTTGGCGGACATGTATACGGAATCGATGGAGGAGATGTGAGTGTCGATGTCGGATTGGAAGGCGCGATGTTCGCGCAGCTGCTCGTCGAGACGCTCCTGGACGAGAGAGGCGGGCCTTTGCATGTTTTTGAATTGGTTTTCCGCTTGGTTGAGCCAATCGATGATACCGTCCAACGCGTCTTGCACCCCCTGCGATTGAATCAGGGCGGTATCCAATTCCTGGCAGCGGTTAACGATCGCGTTACTCAATTGGTTGTACTTGTTTTCGAGATTCTGCACGGGTTCTTCCAACCGGTGGATTTCCGACGGGGATATCTGACCCTCGAGAGAACGCAGAAGTGACACGGTGGCCTGAATAAAACGCGCGCCATATTATATTATATTAAAATAAGGCAGAAACAATTTTTTTTTATAACCAAACTTTCTTGGTGGAAGTTTTTATATATACATTTTTTTTTTGACAAAAATGAGATTTTCCAAAACAATTCAAAACGTTTGCCTTTTTTGAAGTCAAAATAACTATTTTGGAAGTATTACTTGGAAATTTTTGCAAGTAATTTTTTGAACAATTTGATACAACGTTGGGCGTGGTTTACTAATTTATCGTTATTATCTAGTTTTATACTGAATATTTTTATACCAACCTGTTTTATTTGTATCATACTGAGAAATAATAAAGGTAAATTTACAGTGCTGTATAGTTAAAAAAAATGTCTGGAGGGTTTTTATTCTTTTAGAAGAAGAAGAATTTTATTAACCACATATTGTACCAAAGCCTGTCAATATAAGGTAAAATACAAAAACAAAATATAAAAAGTATAAAGGTGTAAAAAAAAGTATTTTATAAATAACACAGTAGTGAACAATAACAAATGTAAAGGTCCAACAACACTAACACGGAGTATAAAAATCGTACAGAAAGTGCAAGATAGTATGCTATGACCTTCACACATTTCAAGAAGCCAAGGATTTTAATTTAAATTTTTTATTTTGATGGAACAATTGGTATTTCATAGAAATGTTTGGTCGTTAAATGCATCACTATTATTTATTTTCCGTTTTCGTAAGCTTCCTTCCTACAACTGAATAAAAACAATCAACACGAACCAAACACTAATAGAAACTTCGCGGTTTTATGATTTATAAAAAGTTAATAATTATTTGTGTTTATGTTTTCAGTTAAATCAGGAAGTAATTTTATAACTATTCTCTGAAAGTTTGACGAAGCTGTCAAACTGTCAAAAATTAATTACGACATACCTGTTTGGCGTTGTCTACGAGCTTGCCGTTAGCGACGAATTCGTTATTCAGCGCTTTCGCTTTCTGGAGTTGTTCTTCGACGGTTTTGGGATCACCTCCGATCGGTTCGTTGAGCAACTTGTTGGCGCGGGACTCGGCATCTTTGAGCCACGTCCTGGCTTTGTCCAATGCATCCGAGTATTCCCTTTGACGGCCTCCGACTCCGGACAATCGATCAGATAAGTTGTTGGCGCGGTGCAGAAGGTCGCGGTACTGCTGTGTCACCAGAGAAACCTCGCTGCGCACCGGAGACTCTTGCGACGAGATAGGTTCAATGTGGGGCAACCGAGATGGTAGAGAAGTTCGGAAGTCGTTTAGTATGTTCAAATATTCCTAAGCAAACAAATAAATTACCTTAATAACGACTATGATATCTAAACAATCACTGTGGTGTTCGAATGAGTAAGAGAAAAACTGGTATTCAAGGGAGCATGCAAAATACGCTTCATAATTATGGGTTAAATAGTCTAACAATAAAATTTATCACACACCCTTGTCAGTAAAAACTAATTCTTTGGTTCATCGAATTGACACAAGTCATCCGGGTCAAGGAATATGTATCAAAGACCTAGGGACATGAAAAAATTATTTCCTTGTTACTGCTATACGCACAAACATTACTAAAACTACGCTTGTAACTGACATAAGCAATGCCCGATTATATGTTCGAATCGTAGTAAATTACATTTATATAAAATCAAAATCCAATTCACACTGATATTAATATTAATATCTTCTACAATTTTTTGGAAGCATTTTAGATTCGGTAAATTTTTGGTGCCTGTCGGCAGAGCATTGAACAATCGAACCCCATCACTAAAGAAGCTTTTTTCGCATTTGTAGAGTTTTAACAAACTGAATATCAAAATCATTTTTACCCCTAACAATATAAGAATGTTTGTACGCCCCTGGAATTAAATAATCTCGTAAGTAGGATGGGAGTAATTTATTTTTTATTTTATATATAAGCATTATTATTAATCAAAAGTTTTATATTAGATTAGATAACTTGTAAGTTAGAGTCGCTACATGTATCGATTCAGTAATTATTTAAAAAAAGAAGTAGCTGATTTGGTTTACTTATCTGTGATAACTACAATAATAAAAAAATATCATCTAGTCAAGACCGACTTCTAAAGTGTGTACATTATCAAGTTTTGGTAAGAGTCTCGTGTTGACACAACTCCCGAGCTCGCACATACCAGTTGGTGCCAGACAAGTCTTGACATATTTATGCAATAGTCTAGTTATAGCAAAATTTTAAAGAACGTTGAACTATGAAACTTTACTGCGGTGAAAGAAATACTGAAAGAAGGCAGACGAACAACCACTGCTGTGCTCGTAGGTACACCACAAGTTCATGACTTCAATAGGTCTGAAATTTGTCATCAACTTCAACAGCTTTTAGCACCCAATCATGAGATCAGAAGTTCATCGAAAGAATGGCGCAAACCTTACCACTTAAGATGCTTACTGTATTCTGGGATCGCGAGAAATGGACCAGCAAGTTACGCGTTATCGCAAAAGGATAATACACGACCACGCACCAAAAAAAAAATGGGATGGGAATTGCTTGTTCACCCACCTTCTTCGCCGGAACTAATACCAAGTGATTATAATTCCAGATTTGAAAAAGCCCTTAGAGGTTGTCCGGTTCAAAAATTACATTTCAGTGTCGACAGAAATGACAAAATAAAAATGAAGTTATGACTAAAAGTGGCCAAGAATACGAAAAATTTCCGTTCTTCCAGTGCCGCCACTTTGGAAAAAGCTAATTGCAGTGATGTAGGGAGAAATGATTAAGGCCGTAATAACATTTCATTACCTTTCCTTCATCGACGAACTTCTGCGCGGACATGGTGATAAACCTGAGGTCGGCCTGATGCGCGATGACGTCACTGACGAATTCTTTGGTGCTATCGGCGCTGGCACCCAGCCGGTCCAAATCGCTGACGGCCCTTTCCTTGTCCTCCAATAGCCGTCTCGCTTTACCCAACCACGTCGAGAATACGTTAAGCTCCCCGTTAAGTTTGGCCAGTTCGTCTCTGGCGCTCAACAGCTTCCTCAAAAGTTTCTCGGTACGATCGGCGGCCTTGTCGAAACGCGTCTTCAGATTGCGCGCGCTCTTCTCCAAACCGGACACTTCGCTCTTGGACAAGATGTCGCCGGCGGTCAGCACCAACTGCCTGACTTGGTCTCCGCAGTGCGCGACCTGAGTGGAATGCTGATCCAAATCGTCTCTGATCTGTTTCACCGCGTTTATTTGATTCCTGAGTTCTTCTTCGATCTCGTGAATGACGTCTTGAGAGGCGATTTTATCCTCGACCTCGCCGATCCAACGGAGCAATTTGGACAGCGTTTCGTCGCACAGCTTGTATTTTTCCTCGACCGCTTGCTGAAACGCGAAGCTCCTCGTGAGAATTCGTTAATATTTTGACAGTGGGCCAGCCCAGTCGGCGAATGGTAATCGTTTTTAATATTTTCGAAACTGCTTGTCGGGATCAGTGAGAACGACTTTTTTTTTAAAACAATTCAAATGTTTTTACAAAACGTCCTGCGTCGGTTTTTGTTGAATTATACTTGCTGACGTTTCGTCGATCATCCTGTTGGCTTCTTCAGAGCTTGACAAACTGGATCGCATTTTACTCTGTACCTGCTTATATATTGTTTGAGGGGGGCGGAGACAGATAGAAACCTGACCGGAGGTTAAGACTGTTAGATTGTTTATAGGTTTCTATAGACTTTCGGATTTTTCGTTGGTAGGAGAATTGAATACATGCAAGAATTTTGTGTTCGGCAACAGCTGATGAGTTTATTTGTCTTAGTCGTAAGTCTCTTTCGTGTTCTTTAAGCCTAGTTGACGTCCGGTCTCTCTAATGTATTCTTGGCCGCATATACAAATAGAATTTTGTTTTTGACGGACCGAAGATGTTGAGAGTTTTTTGGACAAGTGGTAAATCTAGTTTCGACGTTATACTTCTTCAGAACTCTTGATATGTGGTCAATGAGTGGCAAACGTAGGATTGCTTTCGGCCCCATTGCAATTGAATGAATATCTTCAATGTGGAAATTATTAGAGAAAAGAGCAGAGGTAAGGTGTTTTAATTCTGGGTTCAGTGACTCGAGCTGAGATAGGTTTACGGCACATACTACCCAAAATATATTGATTCAAATTACGTTGTCCATTAAACGTCCAATTCAGATGATCCCGTGCAAAGTGCTTGTCGAAGAGCTGGAGTAAGTTTTGGACCAATTGCAGTTGTTTTCGGGGTTGTGTTATTTTTATTCAGACTCTTCTCACCGACCACTGACTAACAGCTACTCTTCGATCTTCATTGAGCTGTTGTTGATAACTTCAAACAATAGAGTAAGAGTAAAATGCGAGCCAGTTTCGGGCAAGTTCTGAAGAATCCAACAGGATGATTGGCGGGACGTCAGGAAGTTGGATCCAGAAGTTTTGTAGAAAGTATTACAGTAGCCTGTGGAAGTTCGTTTGAAAAATTGAAATGTTAAATAATAAAAATATATAAATAAACTGAGATCAAATTATCGACTGGGCTGTGGGTATTGAAAACTGCGGTGCAACTAAAAAGCTGCTATACAAAACAACATATAAAAACAGAAGGAAATTGAAGAAGTAAATACTTAAAAAAATAACATAGCTTAGAGCTAGACAGCCCTATGGTCCTAACACATGCACACACAAGCTCGGCGGACACACAAAAAAATGATGATACGATGTTAGTTAACAAAATAAAATATAAAAACATGTTACCTAAACGTATGATAATAGACACCTGTGAACAGAACTGATTTAAACGAATCACATAAACACATAATTAAAAAAATAAAAGTATAACTTATATAAAAGTGCATTAGTTAAATAATTATTTTATGTTAAGCTTATTAATTATCTGTACAAGATGCGAAACGTCTTAAATCGTTAAACGCTATGATTACACAAAACACTACCTAAACAAGAGTGATAATTATTAATCCTATGATGGTATTAATAAATAACACTAGATACTACAATTAACAATGATGATGGAACGGTGGACGCAGATTTTAATTATTATTATTTTTTTAAGTAGTTAAGCGCGTAAACATACGAACAACAAGCCAATCGGAGTTACAATGAGGTGCAATGCGACGGTCAATATGCCAGTTTGAATGCAAATGTTCTAGGTATGCAGGCAGGATCACCACATAAAAATGATTAACTCTTGGAGGAGGTACTGCGAGCTGCAAAAAACCGCTATATGAGTTTTCTCGAACAAGTTAAAACTCTATGTGAGGAGGTCGCTATTCAAATTTCAAGATTTATTCGAAAATAAATTTGTATGGAAGGCGTTATATCCAAAGCAGACCAACATCAACGCCCGTAGAAATAATGAATGAAAAAGCACTGTTTTGACGCTAAACTGATTTTGGTCAAGGTGTTTCTTTATTCTGCAAAACTAATAACCGAAAACTTTTAGTGTGCTGATTACTGGTTTAGAATGAATGAAAATAAACTTCAGGCAATTTCGGAAAATTAAAAACTTAACTCTGATTGAAAATAAATAAAACATATATCTGAAGTTAATAATTGTATGATTTTGGGCACAAAACTTTCGTTTTAATGTTGGGTCTCCTTTGAGTAGTCCATCTAACCGACAAAAATCACATACCACCCAAAATATATGAGAAATATAAATCGGCATCCAGATGATCAAACCGTATTTGACACCCACAACATGTGAAACGAATTGCTTAATTTTAAATTTGTGCGACTCAAATTATGTTGTCCAATTAAATGTTCAGTTGCTATTTTGCGTTTTTGATTTATGGTCTATTGTGAGAATTATTGCCTGAACTATGTATCATGTTATACATCATACTTAAAAACAAAAAAGATGTTTCGACCCCATTTATTTTCTTGTTTCTTCTTCAATATCTAGTCACTACCGGAATATTATCACGGGTTTCGGAGCAATCGGATGTTTTCGGAGATTTTACCGCACGGTTTGAATTGTGCAGTTCATATCAGTGAATGTATTCGTGTTGTTTCGCAAATGTGTACCCGAAACTAAAGGTCGTAGAAAAAGCATAGTATGTTTGGTAAACTAATTTTGCTACTCATGTCTATAATTACGCACCGATTTAACGTGCGGGAAGCGTCACTTTAACACGTCAGTTTCGTTTCCCACGGATCCGAGCCGCTTCGGACATTTTCGGGATTTTTTACAGCACGGGTTTGCGAGCAATCGGATGTTGTTTTCGGAGATATTTCCTACTCTTTGAATTTTGACGTTTGTTTATTTTGACGGTCATATCAGTGAATGTTGTTTTCCGAAAATATACCCAAAAACTAACGATCGTAGAAAATGTACAATATACAACACGTTCGGTAAACCTTTTAAGTCACTCGTATATTAAACACTCGCTCCGCTGCGCTCCGCTCGTGTCAAATAAACTCGTTAGTCAAATGTCGTATACCGCACTTAATGCATAATATACTGTAAGTCAATCGTTTATGAAATACTCGCTCCGCTGGTGCCAAATTAACTCGTCATTCTATGCCGTTTACCCCACTTGTTGCATAATAAAAATTTGCGTGCATAGGAACTTTTGACGTCATTTTCACTTTTTTGTTGTAGAAACTACTGATCAGAGAAAAAAAAGCTTTTGAAAGACAATTTAATATGCTTTAATACGAGTATAAATTGATTAAAACTATTAATTATTAACTTCTTTTATTGCTAAAAACTAAGAGGGTTGTTGACAATCAGCAACTCAACACTTACTTTTTACTAATGGGTATGACCCCCCTCTTGCAATAATAACATCTTTTACTCGATTAGGCATAGATCTCATCAAGTTCGCTGTTGTTTCTTGTGAAATGTTAAGGCACTCTTCCTTTACTGCAACAATAAGCTCTGGGATCGAGGTTGGGGTATGAACTCTGTCTCGAATTCTCCGTTTTAGCTCATTCCATAAATGTTCGATCGGATTGCGGTTGGGACTGCACGGTGGCCACTTCATAACTCAAAAACCGACTTCTGCAATGTAATCTTGCAGCATTGTCATGCATAAAAATAAATTTTTCTCCAATGTAGTCGACATATGGTACCACGTGATCTGATAAAATATCCTCGATGTACCTACTAATAGCGACTTTTCAATTTTCATGGAGCTGTTGTTGCACTTGAACCGCATTAAGGTGACGATTTCGTATTATTGTTGACACAATAAACCGGTCATTACGAGCCATTGTAATTCGATTTCTGGCAGCCAGTTCCAGGGCGCTTAGCGAAGGATCCGCTCATACTGTTGTCAGTTGTCGAGTAACAGCTTGCCGGCGAAGTCCACTTTCAATTAAAGGAGCTTTTTGGGGCATAATGTGCATCAAGGTAACACAATTAAACGCTATCCAAATGGACAAAAACGAATAATGTAAAAATTCCAGTTGCAAAGGGGATTAATTTAAGTCTACAACAAGTTTGTTACTATCACTATTATAACTACTGCATGAACACGTTTTATTTGTTTAACCGTAACTACGCATGTAAAAGATCAGCAGTCTCGACAAATTGAAACTCATATTAAAGCATATTAAATTGTCTTCCAAATAGCATGCGCATTTTTTGGTCCAGACGAATAGTTTCTAGAGGCTAGCGGCTTTTTCTTAAAAGGTTGGGCGGTACGTGCGGCAAAATATATCAAAAATAACTGCTACGTAGCGACCTTCCTGCACATTCGAACGAACCGATAGTTATTACACCGACATTAGCGAATTAAAAGAAGATACACGTGCAAATAGAAGCGGCGTAACACGACAAAGCGAATAATCGAAAAAGCCAAAAACCGAAAGGTAAACTTACCCGTTGTCGGGCAGGCAAAATCAAACCCTTCTCGAGGGCTTTGGCGAAATCGTACTCCTTTTTCTCGGTGACGTCGACGATCCTGCCCGCGACCGGATCCGTAATCTTCATTTCGACGCTTTGCAATAACGGCACGATGTTGCCGCTTTCGGGGTCCTTAATCACGGTAGTGCTTGGATCTACCAAATTCTCGTCGATCGCTTCGTTCAAGGTCAATTTCTTTCGATCTATTATGTTAGTCGTAACGAACGGGTCGTTAAAGCGACCGGTCGTAGGATTGTACAAGCCGTAAGCGATAGCGTCTATGACGCTGAACCCTGCGTTCGGAGTTACCAAAAGTCCGGTCTCGAGGGCCGCTTTGAGGGCGTACAACTTGGAGGTGGACGTGTCCAATACGTTCCCTTTCTCCGCGTCTATCAGGCCCTTTCTAAAGCCTTCGGGAAGTTTTACGAGTTTCTTTTTGTTTACGTCTTTTATGAGAACGGTATCGGGATCGACGTAACCGAGGGTGATCGACTCTTTCAGCGTCAGCGCTTCGCCGGCCTCGTTGTCCGCGTACTTGCCGGTGTTAACGTCCAAGTACCCGAATTCGACAGCGTCGTTAAAAGTGACCGGTTGTCTCAAATATATCGACGTACCCTGATCGTAAGTGACAACCAACGACTTGACTCGATCGGTGACGCTTTCGAAGATGATCGTTTTGGTGACGCTCAACTCCTCGTCCCTGATAGCGTCCGCGACACTTTTGTACTTACCCGTTCGCAGATCTTTGACTACGGCGACGCTCGGGTCCAGCAATTCGAACTTGATCGCCTCGTCTAGAGTGCAAGACCGCGGTTTCGAGGACGCTACCGAACTTACCTCGTTTTTCTCGACGACTTCCTCCGCCAAAGGCTTGTCCAACGTCACCAACAGTCCCTTCCTGAAGGCATCGTCGAAGTTATAAGTCTTTTTCGATTTCGAATCGAGGACCCGCCCCTTTTCGACGTCGATTTTGCCGTCGCGAATGGCCGCGGACAACGATCGGACGGAGTAACCGGTCGGATCTTTCAACGCGGTAGTTCGCGGATCAATGAACGTATTGGCGAGCGCTTGCGAGATGTCGTAAAACTCGCCGTTTACAGGATCGGCGAACTTGCCCGAATCGGGTCTGTAGAGGCAATTCCCGATAGCCTCCTCTAGGGTCAGCGGCGTTTTCGCGGTCACGATAAGTCCTTTATTTTTGGCTTCCAAAAGATCGATCGTTTTACCGTGCGGGAAGATATAGCTGCACAGTTCGTCGTCTATTAATTTTGTCTCCACGGCGATCGGCAATTGCACGTACTTGTTGAGCTTGGAATTCTTAATCAACGAGGAGACGGGATTGATCAACTCGTTCTCGCAGGCTTCCTTGAGATTGTACTTTCTGCCTGTCGCGGGATGAACGAAGACGCCCTCCTCGGGTATATAGAGGCCCATCTCCAACGCATCGCGCAACCCGAAGTTGGCCGACTCGATGTCAACAATGAGACCCCTATTCAGAGCTTCGGACAGTTTCGTAACCTCATCGCTCGTCGGGTCTTTGAACGTACCGTTCCGCTTGTCTATTACACCCAATCGACAAGTCTCCGTCAAGTTGTACAGATTGCCTCGTCTCCTGTCGTAGTAGCACGGCAACAGGGGATTGATGTTGAAATTTCGAATGGCCTCGTGCAAGGTGACCTTCCTATCCGTGTTCGCGTCTAATATTTTACCGGTATTCTCGTCGTATAGTCCTTGGTGGATCGCCCTTTGCAATGAAATGGCCGCTTTGTTGTCGACGAGGATGCCCAAGTCGAAAGCTTTTTGCAAAGACACCTCGTAGTTCTCGCCCTTGGAAAAGTCCCTCACTTTGCCCGTATTGCCGTCGACGTAGTTGTTGTGAATGGCGTCCACGAGTGACATCTTGCGCCATATTCCCAGGCGCGTGTCCTTCACGCTTACCGATTCCGCATCGATCAAACTGATTTCTATTGCTTCTATTAGGGTTAAGTACTGGCCGGTCTGCGGATCTAAGAACAACTGAGACTCCTCGTCGTAGATACCTTTAGCGATGGCCTCGCTCAACGGCACGGGAGGCCTGATTTCCACCAAAAGGCCGCGCTCGAACGCCTCGTTGAAATCGATCGGCTCGTTGGATTTAATCATCGTTCCCCTGCTAGTATCGATAATACCTTCCGTAATGGCTTGGTCGAACGTAACTAACTCCTCGTCGATCGTGACTAAGGTAGATGAAGTATCCACGTAGCCTCTGTTGATAGCGCTCGCGGTTTTTAGCCTCTCTTTGCTCTTTGGATTAATAAACTTCCCGGTTGCTGGATCGTAGAAACCTTTAAACACCGCTTCTGGGAGGGTTATTTGAGTTTTGTAGGGTACAAGCAGACCTCTGCTTTCCGCGTCGCACAAATTCATCTCGACCTTTGAAACTGGATCGAATGCTTGTCCTTTGATCGGGTCTATAATTTTGGCTTGGATGGCTTCGTTCAAAGTTATAATATCACCTGACGTGGGATCTTTTATAGTTAAAACGTTAGGGTTGATGATACCACTATCGATCGCTTGACTGATTGTGACGGCGGTATCGTTAAATATAATTTGACCGGTGGCGGGGTCGTAAACTTTCTGAGCTAATGTCTCTTGCAACGACCAGGGCAAGACGGTGCTCAGAACGTAGCCTTTCAAATAGGCTTGGTCCAGCGTTAACAGAGGACTGGTCAATAAACCTTTCTCGACGTCTATCAAATTAGTTTGTATTGCTTCGTGAATTTCTACGATACGGCCACGTTTGTCGTCCTTGATGCGAGTGGTAACCGGGTCGATTAGTTTAAATTCGATGGCTTGCCTCAGAGATATTTCTTCGCCAGTTATGGGATTCAAAATGAGACCCGTATGGGGAGAATAGTAATTGGACAAAATAGCTTGGAGTAAATTAAATACGATCGGTTTTGTACGAATCAATTGCTGCTCTAGGGCTTGGTTAAGGAGAACTAATTGACCAGACTTGGTGTCTTTCAACTTATTCGAGTCGATCATGTTCTTATCGATTGCAGATTCTAAAGTAACGAACACGTCTTCCTTGACATTTTTGATTTCGCTGATTTTATCGTCTACCAGATGCCGTTCAATGGCGTCTTGAACGTCCAATAACTGTTTTGTGAGAGGGTCCTTAAATTTAGACTCTTCCGGTTGATACAATCCCTTGTGGATCGCAGCTTGCAACGAAACAGGTCTGGGGATGGTTAAAACGAAACCTTTAAGGAACGCATCGACGAAGGACAATTGTGTGTGGGAAAAGGTGTCGATGACGATGCCCCTCTGCGGATCGACCAATTGCTTATCTACAGCTTCGTAGTACGGCACCAATTGCATATTCTTCGGATCTCGAATGGTGACTGATTTGGCATCGACAACGTTGGAAGTTAAAGCCTTGTGTAAGGGAATCCACTCTTCTTCGACACGAACTTCGGCAGTAGCATTATTGAACTGATCGGTGCTTGCAATTTCCTGCAAGGTTATGGGTTTGAATTTTTCTTTAGGTTTGTCGTTTACGTTTATAATCCATTTAAGCTTAACCGCCTCAAAGAACGACACCTTTTTACCGGTTTTAGGGTCCACCATGTATCCCGAATGCCTATCGACTAGAGGTCGCTGCAGGGCTTCGTGAAGGGATACGTAAGAAGCTGGCTTCTTCGTTAAATCTTTCACCAAGACCGTATCTGGGTTAATGACTCCAAGGTCGTAGATTAGTTCTTCAAACGTGACGTGCGTGTCGGTCTGGGGATCAACAAACATTCTAGTTTTTAAATCGAAATATCCCAACTCAGCCAAGCTTTGCGCTGTCAAGTATTTCGAAATTGTAGTAGTCACCGTTCTATGTACTTCGATAAGGATGACCCTGTGATTGTTAAGGACCTGTACTTCGTCGAGAATGCTGATTTTATTCTGATCCAATCCGTCTTGGACTGTGTACGGAAGTTCCTTGTTTTGGTAAAGAATTCGGCAAATTTTGGGCTCGATCAAACGATCGGCAATCGCATCGCCAAGAGGTAGAATTTGAACTAAATCGCTACTGAGCGATTCTTCCTTTTTAAGGATGTGCACGGTCGAAGTTTTGGTTTGTTCCTTGATTTGTCTTTCCTGTTTCTTATTTTCGGCGTACTCCTTAACCGCGTTGACAGCTGCCACGCCTGCCAAAACCGGGGCTACAACGGGAAGAGACAAACCGCCCAGAACAGCAATCAGTCCCTTCTTGGTCGCTTCCTTGAAGTCGACGCTTTTCCCAGATTTTTCGTCCCTGACTTTTCCAGTGGCGGCATCGATCAAACCCTTCTCTATCGCCTGTTCGACGCTAATAGGCTTCTGGGAGGTAACGTCGTATACCATAGAGTTCGGATCGATAATTTCCTTTTCCAAGGCTTCCTTGAATGTAAGCTCTTTCGATTTGTCGGTGGGATCTTTGAACTTTTGCGTATGTTCGTCATAAATGGTGTGAAAGGCTTCGGCGATGTTAAGCTCGCTAACTCTAGTCGTACCGGTAGTGACAGTTTCTTCTTCAGAGGAGGCCGGCACTGCGGACAAGTGACCCTGTAGGAGCGCCTCTTTTATAGGAATTTTCTCGCCAGATTTCGGATCGGTAAACGTACCTGCGTTCATATCGACCAGACCACGATTCAACGCATCGGAAAAGCCCATTTTAATGTCCTTCATGATAGTTTTATTCTTCGTCTCGCTGACGTCTTTAACGATTCCCTGTTTCCTCGCCTCGTCGATAGATAAAATCTGACCTGTTTCCGAATTTTGCACCTCGCTTTTACTCAACAGAACGTAACCCGATAATATTTCGATCGTCTTGGTGGTCACCGTGTGGATGGTATCGACGGTCTCGGTCAATGTCGTCACGGGTGTGGTGGTACTAAAGGACGCGACGTCGGTAGGTGTTTTCACCACCAACAAACCTTTTTCGACGGCCTCGGATACGGAATGCAATTCGCCAGTTTTGGGATGTTTAAAAGTACCGGCATCGATATTGATAAGGCTCGCTTCCAAAGCATCGTCGAGTCTGACCGAGTCGGTGCTCGGGGCGAAAGGCACTGACATTATAAAGTTCTTTTCTATGGCTTCGGATATCGGTATCACCTCCTTGGTGACCGGATGTATGATTTCTTTGTTGTCCGGATCCACCAATCCGCGTCTAATCACTATGGGTAAAGTCATTCCCGCAGGTGGTATATCGATTGGAGCGTCGTAATCGGGTGTCTGGAACACGTTTTCTTTGACGGCCTCCTCCAGACTCGCGACGCCTTTCTGAGTAGCCACTACAGATTTGCTATCGTCTATAGTACCGGAATCGAGAGCTTCGCTTATCGTCACCTTGTCACCAGTCTTTTCTACGAGCGTACTTAAAGGATCTACGATATCACAGACAATTGCCTCACTAATACTTAAATGGTTGCCGGTTTCCGGATGAACCACTTTTTGACTCGCGGGATCGATCAGTCCCTGCTTTAGCAACTCTGGAATGGACAGGCTACGGTTCAAAGGCACTAGAATTTCGTTGGTACCGTCGGGATCTAAAATACCGCGAGAAATAGCTTGATTAATTGACAAACGGTGGCCCCTCTGAGGATCTACTATCAGCCCCTTATCGCCGTCCACTTTTTTCGACTCTATCGCCTCGACCAATGTCATCATTTCGCCTTCGTCGTTGGTGAATGCTTCTTTGTTTTCTAAAATGGTCGCAGTTTCCGCGTCTATGATCCCCGCCTGGACAGCGTCCTTGGGTTTGACGACTTTTTTCCGTAATTTCTGAAGCACGACCTTTTTGGCCTCGCGTTCGGGACTTAACGACTGCGCCCGTCCAATTTTCACCCTGTAGGTGGGTTCGATTGTTATTCTGGCTCGGGTTTTCTCGGCCTCCGACGGTAGATCGCCGTCGTCCAAACTTATCGTTGCCGTACTTAAAATTTTTATCTTCGACGGTTCTTCCATTTCCTGGGTGCTCACGACGGCGTGATTTAAAGCCTCTCCGGTGGCGGCGCTTCGATCGATTTCCTCTCGCGTTCGCTCGTAAGTCGCTAAATCGATAACTCCCTTTTCTAAAGCGTCTTTCGCGGGGAGATTGTCACCGGTTTTGGGATCGACCACGTACAGGTCCTTCACAGTGCGCGCTGCTGCGGTCACTGCGGCCACCGGGGCGCCAGCTACTGCCAAAATACCGAACTTGACGGCGTCCTTCAACGCGATCTTTTGGCCGTTTTTGTCGCTGTATGTCCCCTTGTCTTGGTCCACTATGTTCCGTTTCAAAGCTTCCGTAACGGTAATCATCTGACCGCTGATAGGATCTTTAACGGTCACCCTTTCCTTCGGTATTTTATTGCCCGTCACCGCTTCGAGAAGGTCGAGAGCCTCGTTTTTCTCCGGATATAGGACCACGTTTTTAACCGGATCAAATATCACGCCCGGTTCAACTTCTATCGGTTGAGACGCAGGCGTGTCGGATATTTTAACTTCCGTGTACGACGGCGGGTTCTTGTCCACCACGGCGGAGACCTCCACTTTCGTGGGCACCCCGTCCTTTTTAGTGATTTGCAGCAACCTCTGACTGTACGATTCGCTTTTGATCGGTTCCTCGAACAACACGTACCCTCGATCGATCGCCTCTTGGAGAGTGAGCTTTTTATTGTCGATGACGTAATGTCCGGTCGAGTCGATAAGTTTCTTTTCGAAAGCCCGCGACAAGCTCACCTTCCGCTTACTCGTCGGGTCCACAACGAAAACGGATGACGAATTGATGAGCTTAAGGCTCACGCATTCCTCGAAGCTGGCCAGCCGATCCGTGCCGGGTATTATGAAAAGGCCGGTCACCGGGTCGAAGAGTTTCTGATCGATGGCGTCCGGTACCGACCAGCCTTCGCTCGGAAGCTCGTACACTTGTTTCTCGGACAGTTTCCGCTCGGTCGGCGTTTCCTTCTTGACGGTCGACGAAGTGCTGGGCGAAGTACTGATAGCGACAAACGTTTCGGTACTTTCCGTATCGGGCGCCAGTTTTCCTTCGCTTATCGCCTGAACTATAGGCACCACCTCGTTAGTAACGGGATCCTTAAACGTTTGCCGTTCGTTATCGATCAATCCCGACCTCAACGCTTCCGTATACGTGATGATTTCCCGCTTGACGTCTTTACTGGTGACGGTGACGTACCTCTGGACCAGCGTGCGAACGATTTTCGTCGAAACGTTCAGATTGAGCAGGCTGTTCAACATGGCCGCGCCCTCGGGCGTGATCAGGTGCCGCGCGATTGCTTCGTTCAGGTACACCACTTTGTTCGTTTTAACGTCGAGGATGTTACCGGTTTTCGGGTCGACGTGGCCTCGGAATACGGCCTCCAACAGCGTCAGCTCCCGGTTACCTTCGTAGATACCGATGCCGCGGCTAAGCATTTCGTACACTTCCGGTTTGACCAGGTCCGTACGCGCCGCTTCCGCGAACGGTACCAACTTGCCGCTCTTCTTGTTCACCAGCAAACTGCCGTCGTTCTTCTGACTAACGAATCCTTTGGCGACCGCGGCGTTAAAGCTGATATGATCCGTTTTTTCCGGCGGTCGGAAACCGTCGACGTCGAAAATCGATTTTTTCACGACCGATATGACGTAACCGCGACCGACCGCCTCCGGGATAGACAAAACTTCTCCGGTGACGGGGTTCTTGAAACGACCGTCTGGTAAAATGATACCTTCGCGTAGGGCGTCGTTCAAAGTGAGCAACTCGTCGGTGCGCAGGTCCAAGACGGACTTTAGCGAGTCGGCGTCGACGACACCTCTGGCGGCCGCGTCGAGCAACGACAATTTCGCGTGGTGCGTGGGCGAAAGGAACTTACCTTCCGCATCGACGATACCGTCGTCGACCGCTTCCTTGAGCGATTTCGGTTTGACGATCAGCTGACGCCGTTTCGCTTCGAGCAGCGACAGTTTCTCGTGGCCGTACGCGTACTTACCTAGTTTGGGGTTGACGATGCCGCGTTCGATCGCCTGCAAAAGCGTCACCTTCGAGTCTAGTTTAGGGTCGACGATTTCCCGCGTGTCCCCGTCGACGACGTTACATTTAACCGCGGCGTCGATTTGATATTTATTACCGGAATTTCGATCGATCACCCAGCCGGTTACGTCGTCGATCAATCCCTGATTGATGACGTCCGTCAACGTTAACGCGCCCGTTTGCAGTTTGACTTCCGTGTGCTGAAGAAGGTATCCGCGTTTGTACGCTTCCTCGATATCGATCGTTTCGCCGCCGTCTAACTTATACGTGCCAGACGTTACGTCGACCTTTCCATCATCGATCGCTTGCTTAATCGTCATCGAATGCGTTACCTTTAATTTTTTCTCGGACGGATCCACGTGATGGTGCTCGGCTTCGTAAATCTCCCTCTGGATCGCTTCCAAGAGGGTGAGCTCTCGCCCGTCTTCTACGACGCCGCAAGGGCTTTGTAACCGATCCGCTATTTTGGGTTCGACGAGGCCGCGTCGCTCCGCTTCGTTAATACTGATTTGGGTACCGTCCGGCGACGCTATAATCATGCCCGTTCTGACGTCCAAGACGCGTTCCGCTATGGCGTCCCTCACGGTCATGTGTTCGCCCGTGTAAGGGTTGATTATGCCCGCGATATCGGTTATGGAATCGGTGGCTATGCCCTCGTGCACTTTGTGCACCCGCTTCAGCGATTTGATTTCAGTGAATTGCATCGACGTGCCCCATTTTTGAACGGGTTCTTGGATTATTTGGGTGAGGGTGGCGTGTTTGTCGGGCGGACGGCCGTTCGCTAACCGGTCGACTTCGTCGTAGTAGCGGTTTTGGTGGTGGTCATCGATTTTGATCGTCGAACCGTTCTCGGTACGGGTGGACTTGGTCTGGATGTACCTGCGCGTTCGGACACGATAAGATTTAAGACGCACTCGGTATATGTATCAAGGAACATAACTTGCGACAAACAGTCTTAATATAAACGCCTAACTATGATAATATTTCATCAGTATAGTGTGTCTCAAAATATATCGTCTGTGCTTTTGATGGATTCTCGCCCGAAACGTAATTTCTAGGTGATTCTGCTTTGACTTTACTTTTTTACTTAAAATTACTAAGATTTTACAACTAGACTTTTTAAAAATTTTATCCATATTATTTATCTGTTTTACTGTATAGGTAAAAGCCTGAAGGTATTTTAGTACAACTTCAAAGCGTCAAGAACACAAATAATTTCCAATTTTCCGTTCCACAGAACTGAGAAAGAATTTCATCTGTATGGTGTGTCCCAAAATATATCGTCTGTGATTTTGATGGATTCTCGCCCGAAACGTAATTACTTATTATTACTAGGTAAGGGGCGAGGCAGGGATGAGTCAGGTATATTGGTGATTCCGTTCTGTTACTTTTTTTACTTAAAATTTCTCAAATTTTACAACTAGACTTCTTTTTAAAATAATGCATATTATTTATCTACAAGTACAAGTAAAAGCCTGAAAGGATTTTAGCACAACTTCAAAGGGTCAAGAACGAGAAACAAATTTCGTATTTTCCGTTCCACAGAACTGAAATAAAATTTCATGTGTATGGTGTGTCTCAAAATATATCGTGTGTGCTTTTGATGGATTCTCCACCGAAAAGTAATTACTTATTACTACCAGGGATGTGCCACAGGTAAATGGCTGATTTCGTTTTGACTCTTATTTTTTTACTTCAAACTTTTAAGATTTTAAAACTAGACCTGCTACAAAATCTCATGCCTGAAAGGATTTTAGTATAACAGGAAATAAATTTTACGTTCAAATTTCAATTCGAAAATCATATAAACTCTTTGCACCATTTCATAAACACCATGTTTGTAAACAGTACTTTCAACATGATTCGCAACATTTTTTAATGACAAAAGTTATTGAGCCGGAATTCAGTGGTAACTTAAAACATTAACCAAAAAAGTGTCATTTTTTTAATTAATAATTAAATAAAATATAACAAATGTGTAAAACACCATAAATACCAATTAAATATCTACCAGTTAGGGCAGAAAATATTTAAGTTACGAATTTCCTTATATACCCTGTATAACGTACACTAAATGGAAATTTGACTTACTGTTTGCTGTAGTGCGTGGTGGTGGTGTAGGTGGAAGTTTGCTCGCTAGCACTGCTCATGTGGAATTCGGATCTGAAAGTCCTAAACGGCTGTGGTTTGATTTGCTCGACCAATCTCTGAAGAAAATATTAAAAACAAAAATTATTGTTAAATGGTATTTTTATCAGTTTTAAAAAAAAAATCGATATTTTTCAAAAATGAGAGGTAATTGTAGTTCTTTTTGGACTATCAGCAATGCTACCTCATATAATGCGAAATATTGATACGTAATATACGGGGTCTGGCATAGTTATAAAAAAATTCCAATTAATTACTTAAAATTTGCGTTCATTTAATGTGACAAAATAAACAATTGAGACTTTTCTTTTAACTTTTAAACCTAGCACGTTAAAAAAACTTTTATATTTAAAAAAAAATGATCATAATTATTATTTACCTTTTCAAAAAAATAATCAAACAAAAAAAAACATAATTTCAGAATACGAATAAATAAAAATTAATTTCGTAATTATAGTGGAAGGAGAATTTATCAGGAACAAACTATTTATTGTATCGGAACTTAAAATACTTCAGATAATATGCTGAGAATAGGCAATTTTCGTAGCTAGTTAGTATCCCTGACCTGGTCGACGCCCATATCTATCGATCTACTTTTAATCTGTAATAGCATTTCTGAAATTTGAACCCACATATAATCGTTTTCTATCGCATTTCGTTACACTTTGGAATTACGTTGTGTTTAAATATTTATTAATTCAAAATCAGGCTAATAGGTCAAAACAATTTTGAATTAAAAAGTTGTTAGATTGGACATTTAGACAGGTACTTGTAGATAGACAGTGATATCAAAAATATAAAAAAAATGCTGTTACCGAACGAATATTGGTTTGATAAGATTTAAGTATCAAAATAACGATCGATTTTTGCCCGCCTTGAAAATTTCGAAATAATAATAGCGAAATCAAAACCAGTTCAAATGGCCAGAAACGGATGAGAATTTTAATAAAGATTACCAGCGCAATGTAACGAAAAAGGAAAACCTACATCCGGTCAGCTTTTCCAAAGTAAAACCTAATGGAAAATGGTAAAAAATTAAATGTTAATTAAAAACGCAAGTTAATCAAAGCAAAAACCATTTGAAACGGGTTCGGTTTTTTTGTTTCTGCAAGGACGCAGACTTTGATTGTGTGTTGTGTTAATTGCGCCCATAAATCGGTCAAAATAACTGATTTTAAAATAAACAATATTTAATTCAATATTAGTCAAAAAAGACCAATACAATTTCGAGAAATGAGACAAAAATCGCAAGCACAAGATGAAAAAAGAATAAGAAATACAAATAAAAAACAAAAACGAAAAAAAAAAATGGAGATTGGATAAATTCATTATTTTATGAAGTGTGTTGCCATTAATAAACATTTGTCAATGGAGACAACCGGAAGAAAAACAAAACCAAACCCCAATCGAGGGTGGGAGTTGCCACACGTCACAGTTAAATTGTTGGTTAGTTTTTTACAAAAAAAAAATGTGACAAATAGCCGACCACTTTTATATTTATATTGACCTGATTTAAGTAACCTGAAACGTGAACGGCAATTTCAACAACGCACTGCTATATACCTTGGATGAATTTTAATTAAGCAGAATTTCAAAAATAAACTTTAAACGGCGAATACATGAAAATATTAAGCGGCATTTTTTTACGATCAGTGCGTTTTCAGGGTTCTGTTGACCGAACGCCAAAATAAAAGTGACGTCACGATATTTAATCTCGTGACTTTTATTTTGAATTGCTCTAGCCTCGCAGTCTGCAAAAATTAGAAGGAAATCGTTCAAACTTAAAGATGGATTACTACATTCGAAAATAATAATTTATAGCAAATTTGGTTAGTTTGTTGTGGTCAGCGGCAAGCTAACCAAAACTACCCTAACTAAGCAAATAAGGTTGGATTGCAAATATTTTAATATTTTAGCCAAAATATTTACGAACACAAATTCATTTATTCGTGTCAAAAAATATAGATATAATGTAGCTTGCACGATTGATTTTCTTATCATCACCTTATCAGAATCCTCAAAAATTACATTTTTGTAGATTATAGTTTAAAGGTATTTAACATCGATTTAACGAAAACCCGCGCATCCGCCATATGTCAACAATCCGATCAAAACATGGAAACTGAGAGCAGTTTATTTTTGTGTGTGACAAAATGCAAAAAAATTAAAAGAATAGAAACGGGCAATTTATAGTAGACAGACTTTTCGCATATGCAGTTCCTAAATGTGTGTTTTAATCAATTTTCGAAGACGAATTAAATGAAAAACAGGATTTTTTTTGTGCTTCTAAAATCAATTGAGATAATAAATATAAATAAATAACAAAACTACTTGACACGTTTTTACGCAAAAAGTTTTTATTTGAATATCTGAACCTTCATAAATTTTTATATATGAAAGTGTTCTTTAAAAGCAAATCACCTAGGCTTAGGCATGTACATCCAAACGACTCTCAATGTTTAGAGAGGCAATATATAAACCACCTTCTAACTAGATTGCTTTATTCACATTAATTGAAAAATCTATATTCTTAACTATTCACTAAACTAATTTATATATTCTATAAATTTCGTAACCCGTTTGCAATTTGTTGTTACGATTTTGGGCAATTTTAGCAAATGCCTTGTGTGTTGTGTGTCACCCTAACCTCAGTTTTTAAGGGTGAGAAATTTGACAGCATAACTAGTGGAATAAAAAAATATAAAGGGTTCACCACTCATAATTGTTGCTCGAAATCGAGTTACCTGCGATCTTTAAAACCAGAAATATATTAATTATTATTCACGGGAAGAAAAAAATGATATGCGTGAGCGCCCGTGTGTAGTTGCGAAATCCGAGAAACGCTTACCCAAGGAACGTTCGACAGTTCATGTTTAAAATCGTAATCCTCGCTCATCTCGACGCACGACAAAAATTACGAAATTTTTAAAACTAGATCACAGGCGGCCTCTTAAAAAAAAAAACAACATAAGGCGGAGCGTTACGCGGTATCGAACGGCCTCGTTTTGACAACGATCGGGGGCGGCGGCCGTTTCTCCTTCATCGGCGAACGAAGTTAAAAGTCAATTTTTCCAAAAACGCGAAAACGGCCGGCTCGTAATTCGGATCAAATCGCCGGTAAATTTCCACGAGAAAATCTACACATCCATACGCGATCCGCAATCAAACTGACAGTTGCGGCCACCAACAAGCGAAGTCGGTAGGCGATAAGGCGACCGAACTTTGCCGAAGGCGAGACGAATCGGTCCGATCCGCGTGTGCTCACCGACGTTTATTTTTAGTGTTGATCTTACGACCGTTTCGAGTGCGAATTTTAATTAACACAATGCCGCAAAGAACAACGTTTCGAGAACGATCCCGATTCATCATTAAGGGGATCGCGAATTCGACGAGAAACAGACGGGATTCTTGTTGTTTGGGCGCCCCATTTTAACCCGCCGGGAACATCAATTTTACAAGTTGAACGAGGTATGGGTTGCTTTTCGGTAATTTTAAATTATTCCCCGATAATTCTATTTGTTATTTGTTTGAGTCGCGTTTCTTTGTCGCAACTTTAAAATTTGAAACACATTTATCGGCATAAGAATCTGCAAATGTCGGCCATAACCTCACTTTTTTTTTAAATCGAAATACTTTCCTCTTGAATGGTATTTGACGGTATATGTATGTCAACGATAAATTACATTCAACCCGAAATTAGCTGCAATGTCATTACGGTTGTATTTCAAAATTGTTTCACGTCTTATTTGTTTACCTACCTCTTATTCCTACAAAACAAATAATGAATGTTTATTTCTCTTAAAAAATTGGAATAAAACTACTTGGTTGTCCTTCAAAAATAAATATCTAATTACGTCTTATGTGTCGAGTTTTCAATTCACCTCATATGTGTCTTGAACCATCAATTTTCATTCTATAATCTAATTCACCTTTCAAAAACATCTTTGGTTATGTTGTTTGACGCCAGATTTGCATAGTTCGCAGCAGACAAAGTAAAACAAAGGGGTTAGATTGGTTATTGGGGTAACCACAGTTTAACCAGTGGTTAAGTATCGATCTCGCTACCGATTGATGTTTTATCCAAAAAAAAAATTCATAGTCCCATAGAGACCAATATGTTGTGACAATTACAATAATAAAAATACCATCTAGTCAAGGGTGAAAATAATGTTTCCGTTTACTAAAAACAAGAAGCAAAACAAAAGTAAACTTCAAGTTTGTAGTTTAGTTAATTTTTTCATATTCTTAAGTTGCCAGTAGTGTCTGTGAATAACCAAACTTTGTTTTGGAAGTACAATTCGATAACGTAAAGTAATTCCCATCGTGAAATCCCAGTGTGTTGTGGAATCTCAGCAGCCAATCAAATGCTCTATTGCTGCGTAAGGCCTTATATGGTCGTAATCACGTTCGCCCTCGTCTATTGACTCACAGAGCAAGTTGTGTAGAAGTGTGTTTTGAAAGTGATGTAAGGAATAGCCGTGATAATAGTGCGCCAAATAGAGAAAACGACAAGTATTTTCGGATTGTTATTGGAATAGATAGAGAATGTCAGTAAGTTTACCCCGCTTTTTCACATTGCATTTATGATCCTATAAAATGTATAATCGATCTACATACATACATAAGACAATGGTGATGTAAGACCGTAAATTTAGACGTTTTATTTACAACGAACCGACGTTATCACAAAATTTCCGCTCCAGACTTACATTTAAACGGGCGACAAGCGTTCTTGAATGGACCAAGGCCGACGGAATTTAGGAATGTCAACGTATTTCGCTGCGTTCGATCGCCTCCAACGTAGTCGCGTTAAAATAAAAAATGACGATTGCGAAACTAGCGAGCTTAAGAGAAAAAATACCTGGAGGTTAATAAACAAAAATATTTAGTGGCGTTTATTTTTAAACGTTCCGTCAACCTGTTGTTATCTGCGGACTCTCGATGACGTAACTATGGTAATTGGAAAATCGACCGGTATATATTAACAGTAGTCGACAATTTGTATCAATTCGAATAAATTGTCTATTAATGCCACGACAATTGCCGACGCCAGACGTTG